AGCACTTCAGATTGCGTGAAGTGCGAACAACCTCTGGTGCTTGAAGCCAAGTCTGGAGAGACTGCACCATCCCCGCGCTTGAAGGTGAAAATGCAATGGCAGCGACCTGACTGGTGCAAGTGGGTCCCTCTTGGCTCTTTGCAATACGTGGGCGATTGCACTGGTTCAGCCACTGGTGCCACCTCTGGGACGCAGGCAGGAGGTTGTGCCAACTGGTGTGGATGGAGCCCAGTATCAGCTTGGCAGTACATCCCCGAGTGCGGGCAATGCTCTTCAGGACTTCCAGAAGGAACAGTGGTTCCTATGGCTGGCTGCGAGAACTGGTGCCAATGGGTCTCCCGCCCTTCCTGGCAGAACGTGGGAGGCTGCACAGGTTGCGAGGCTTTGGCAGCCAACTCAAATGCGAACGAAATCCGACCATGAGGCTTTCCTCTCAGCATCTGTCAGCTCAGAGCCTGTAATGTAAAGTTTGGCTGATTTTGAGTTGACAAGGTAATCTAAGATGGTGGCAATGTAAGTTATCACATGGTCAGCGGGGCCTGGTCATGTCTTGATCTTTTGTTCCGCCATTGGGGAAGTTGGTGGTTCACAATTGTGAATATGTATAGAAAAGACTGACCTGGTGGCGGAATGGCAGGGGGCTTTTTCACATTCTATCACAGAATGTGGTCGACGTACAGCAGCGTTCCCTGCAAAAAGAACCGGACAAATTTGCCGAAATCGCCTGAGGCGCAGTATCTCTATCACTCACTCTCTCTACCTCTCCACCTCTCTTTCTATCTCTCTCTATCTATCTCTGTGTCTTTCAATAGTCGACTGCAAGATTCCCAGCTCAATGCAATAGAGCGGTTTTTTGTTGCTCAGAAAGCTTTGGCGTTGACGGAACTCTCCCCTTCTCTCTCATTTGCTTGTTTGACAAAGATGACAAATGCTGGGATGAGGGGAACGCTGGGATGTGAATGCGTCACAGCTGTTGGGGCACACAGAGTTTTTTACCTCAACTTATCTGGATAGCATTTTTGGTGGATGAAGTTTTGATACATACATTCGTATAGGCAACTGCACACAGTTCACCAAAACCCCAAACTCTTCAGACAGACCATTGTGTAGTGCACCTGCAGTCTTTGGGCTCATAGCATTTCAGAGGTTTGCATTTTCGCAGAGAACGCTGACATGATGAAGTTCCTGTCTCTCCTGTTGTTGCCACTGTGCCTTGCACAGCCTGATTGGTGTCAATGGGTTCCCCTGGCCTCGCAGCAGTATGTGCCAGACTGCAGCGGCTATGTAAATCCTGCTAGCTATGGGTACTCATGTGCCAGCTGGTGCCAGTGGGTACCAGGTCCATCTTGGGGATATACCCCCGAATGCAACAGCTGCTATCAAGTCTACTCTGGCCACTACAAGTCCATGGCACCTCCCACAACTGTGGCAAAAACAGCAGAAAGCGGTTGCAAAGCTTCGTGCCAGTGGCTCTCAAGGCCGTCTTGGAACAGCACTTCAGATTGCGTGAAGTGCGAACAACCTCTGGTGCTTGAAGCCAAGTCTGGAGAGACTGCACCATCCCCGCGCTTGAAGGTGAAAATGCAAATGCAGCGACCTGACTGGTGCAAGTGGGTCCCTCTGGGCTCTTTGCAATACGTGGGCGATTGCACTGGTTCAGCCATTGGTGCCACCTCTGGGACGCAGGCAGGAGGTTGTGCCAACTGGTGTGGATGGAGCCCAGTATCAGCTTGGCAGTACATCCCCGAGTGCGGGCAATGCTCTTCAGGACTTCCAGAAGGAACAGTGATTCCTATGGCTGGCTGCGAGAACTGGTGCCAATGGGTCTCCCGCCCTTCCTGGCAGAACGTGGGAGGCTGCACAGGTTGCGAGGCTTTGGCAGCCAACTCAAATGCGAACGAAATCCGACCATGAGGCTTTCCTCTCAGCATCTGTCAGCTCAGAGCCTGTAATGTAAAGTTTGGCTGATTTTGAGTTGACAAGGTAATCTAAGATGGTGGCAATGTAAGTTATCATGTGATCAGCGAGGCCTGGTCATGTCTTGATCTTTTGTTCCGCCATTGGGGAAGTTGGTGGTTCACAATTGTGAATATGTATAGAAAAGACTGACCTGGTGGCGGAAAGGCAGGAGGCTTTTTCACATTCTATCACAGAATGTGGTCGACGTACAGCAGCGTTCCCTGCAAAAAGAACGGGGCAAATTTGCCGAAATCGCCTGAGGCGCAGTATCTCTATCACTCACTCTCTCTACCTCTCCACCTCTCTTTCTATCTCTCTCTATCTATCTCTGTGTCTTTCAAAAGTCGACTGCAAGATTCCCAGCTCAACACAATAGAGCGGTTGTTTGTTGCTCAGAAAGCTTTGGCGTTAACGGAACTCTCCCCTTCTCGCTCATTTGCTTGTTTGACAAAGATGACAAATGCTGGGATGAGGGGAACGCTGGGATGTGAATGCGTCACAACTGTTGGGGCACACAGAGTTTTTTACCTCAACTTATCTGGATAGCATTTTTGGTGGATGAAGTTTTGATACATCACATTCGTATAGGCAACTGCACACAGTTCACCAAAACCCCAAACTCTTCAGACAGACCATTGTGTAGTGCACCTGCAGTCTTTGGGCTCATAGCATTTCAGAGGTTGGCATTTTCGCAGAGAACGCTGACATGATGAAGTTCCTGTCTCTCCTGTTGTTGCCACTGTGCCTTGCACAGCCTGATTGGTGTCAATGGGTTCCCCTGGCCTCGCAGCAGTATGTGCCAGACTGCAGCGGCTATGTAAATCCTGCTAGCTATGGGTACTCATGTGCCAGCTGGTGCCAGTGGGTACCAGGTCCATCTTGGGGATATACTCCCGAATGCAACAGCTGCTATCAAGTCTACTCTGGCCACTACAAGTCCATGGCACCTCCCACAACTGTGGCAAAAACAGCAGAAAGCGGTTGCAAAGCTTCGTGCCAGTGGCTCTCAAGGCCGTCTTGGAACAGCACTTCAGATTGCGTGAAGTGCGAACAACCTCTGGTGCTTGAAGCCAAGTCTGGAGAGACTGCACCATCCCCGCGCTTGAAGGTGAAAATGCAAATGCAGCGACCTGACTGGTGCAAGTGGGTCCCTCTGGGCTCTTTGCAATACGTGGGCGATTGCACTGGTTCAGCCATTGGTGCCACCTCTGGGACGCAGGCAGGAGGTTGTGCCAACTGGTGTGGATGGAGCCCAGTATCAGCTTGGCAGTACATCCCCGAGTGCGGGCAATGCTCTTCAGGACTTCCAGAAGGAACAGTGATTCCTATGGCTGGCTGCGAGAACTGGTGCCAATGGGTCTCCCGCCCTTCCTGGCAGAACGTGGGAGGCTGCACAGGTTGCGAGGCTTTGGCAGCCAACTCAAATGCGAACGAAATCCGACCATGAGGCTTTCCTCTCAGCATCTGTCAGCTCAGAGCCTGTAATGTAAAGTTTGGCTGATTTTGAGTTGACAAGGTAATCTAAGATGGTGGCAATGTAAGTTATCACATGATCAGCGAGGCCTGGTCATGTCTTGATCTTTTGTTCCGCCATTGGGGAAGTTGGTGGTTCACAATTGTGAATATGTATAGAAAAGACTGACCTGGTGGCGGAATGGCAGGGGGCTTTTTCACATTCTATCACAGAATGTGGTCGACGTACAGCAGCGTTCCCTGCAAAAAGAACCGGACAAATTTGCCGAAATCGCCTGAGGCGCAGTATCTCTATCACTCACTCTCTCTACCTCTCCACCTCTCCACCTCTCTTTCTATCTCTCTCTATCTATCTCTGTGTCTTTCAAGAGTCGACTGCAAGATTCCCAGCTCAATACAATAGAGCGGTTTTTTGTTGCTCAGAAAGTTTTGGCGTTAACAGAACTCTCTCCTTCTCTCTCATTTGCTTGTCAGACAAAGACGATGACAAATGCTGGGAGGAGGGGAACGCTGGGATGTGAATGCGTCGAAGCTGTCGGGGCATGCTGCGGTTTCTGGGCACGTTGCTGTAGCCTCTTCATGCCTCGCATGTTTTTCCTACCTCAACTTGTCCAGATATAGCATTTTTTGTACATTTTTTGTGGGTGTGAAGTTTTGATGCATCACAGTCGCAGGCATTTCAGGATGCACATGCGATTCGGGCCCAATCTCAGACAGCATGCTGTGAACTTACGTCATGCACAGACACACAAGTGCAGGCGCTAGCTGTATTTTGTTTTGTCTCCTCTGATTGACAATGTTTGCCATTGTTCCACAAAGAGGAAAAGCTACCTATTAGCGAATGTGATTCAAAAGCATTGCACAGTTTGGTCATGCATTGCATGACATTGGATGACATTGGATTTGGATGTCTTCCCTGCTTCGCTTGCCATGTTGGCTGAGCATTTTCTGACTGTTTGGTGACAAACGTTTTATCTTTCATGTCCGGAGGCTTAACTTCTGTTCTGAGAACTTGTACAGTCTTTACCGGCTTGGCCTCAAGTCGTGCCGGGATTTTCCCAAAGTCAAAGTAAAAGGATGTTAAAGGGGTTCACATCCGTAAGATGTTGCCATCCTGTCCAAAAATCATGGATGATTTGCCCCATTGATTCAATGGTCTGATCGGTCTGAAAGGCCTGAAGTTAACCATGTGGGTTGTCAAAGCCCCCCAAAAAGCTGGTTTAATCAGCAGCTATGAAGCCATGGACAATAACACTTTTTAACAGTTTAACAGTCATAAATCATCGATACATGGGCCATTTTCCGTAGCTATGTAAAATCAACAAGAGGGTAACAGGTTTTAACAATTGGACCAGTCGGATGCCGATGGGGGCTATGTGCATTGATCATTCACCCAGTCGGATAGGGTTTAATATAGGCATCATATAGAAGCCCCAATGATGGTGCCATGACAATAATGATACATATCCTATGTTCTCTGAGGTGTTTCGATCATTGTACAACAACAACAACAACAAGAAGAAGACTTTTTGGATGAATTATGGGGATAGCCCTGCCCAGGTTGCTGGATGTTTCAGCTGTGCCTGCTGTGCACGTTTGGCCTCACTTGGAGCAAGCCGCACATCATCTTTCATGTTGGGAACTGAACTTCCAACACTGCTGCACTGGACCAACAGTATGACAGCATGGCAGATGAGCACGCATACACAACTGTGCAAAATATGATGTTTGTATGTTTTTTTTTTAACTTAGATAGTTCCCACAATCTTGACACAACAGATTCTCAGCCAATCTCTGGTTCCCATGTGTTTTAAACCCAACAAAAAATGGACCGAGCAAGCTGCCGCCCATCCGAGATCATCGATGATTGGGGTTTTCACGACATCGGTTTCCGGTCACAGCAGATGAAGACACCGACCCTCGACAAATATCACAAGCAAGGCCTGGCTGAAGTGTGGAATGCGGGTAATGATCGGCTGCAATGGGGAGCTCATGGGGAGATAGCCCAAACCAACAATGATGGGGATATAATGGACATATACTGGGATATGCGGATATATGCGGCCATTCTACTGGAGATAATGATGAGTCAGTCCAGATGAGAGCAATCATACACAGGGGTCCAGTGGAATCCCTAGTGTTTTGGCGATTTCTTTCTACGTTTTGTGGGATCCCTAGAACCGAGTTACTGGGTTTTGCCCTATTTGAGGCCCTCTTCTTGTTTCATTTTCTTGTGTTTATATTATGATTTTGTTTGTATGATTGAGTTTTTTTTTTCCCCGCCATATTATTTCAGAGTTACCGCCCACCATCTCCACCATCTGGCATGATCCTGTGCCAGGTGTAACCCTGGAAAACTACTACGTGTTGCCTACCTGCAGCCCAACTCGTGCCACCTTTCTGACGGGCCGCATGCCCTTGCACACGGGGCTCTCGTCAAAGCTGACGATAAGAGAAGCCAAAGGGTGGCTGGGCGCGGTGGTTGATGGAGAAATGTGGTTGATCCCTTGTGGTTGCTGATGACTAAATGGATTTTCTATGCTATAAACTTATATAAACTTTATAGCTATGTGGTTTCTTTGTTGCTATGTGGTTTAATTGTTTATGCTTAACTTAGGGATTGCTATAAACCACATAGCCACATAGCACTATGATAATAGCTAAAGCGAGCAATGCCCAAACCTCGAGGCTCAGCTACTTGGATGTGATAGAGATGGGATAAGGCTTTGATCGTTGACCCCTATGACCCATAGCCATATCATATATCATCCGTGGGAATCCAAATTGTAATGAGATCCCATTTGAAGTTAATGTTCATGAATTCTGAAACAATCCCCATTATCATACTCCCCATTGGACAGGGTGATACCGCTGATACCCAGTGGTTTGAAGGGTATTACTAGTATTAGTCATTGTTGGTTTACTCCAAAAGTGGCAATGAAGCACCCTCTTGATAGACTGCCGCAGGTGAGGGGGGTGGCTGAAGAATGGGACCCAACTTGAAAGCAAACATCATCAGGAATATCCAATATTAATAGGATATGGATGGGATGTTAATGGGATGTTAATTGAATTTGGCCACCAGTACAAAATGCTGGTGGTGCCAATGTACTCATAGAGGCAAGCCTCAAAATGACTTGCGGTCACCAGCAACCGAAACATACATCAAAGCCACATGAAGCCACAGTAACAATGACCCAATATTCATTAGATAGATTTACGGGAAAAACTGCAGGAAACCTCCATATTCGATCAAAAAACTTTTTTTGTAGATGTTCCATGATTTTCCCTTACACCAACCCATTACAATATATGGATATATCCGGTATATCCAAAACCCATGAAATTCTCCAACGTTTCTTTGGGAGTCATCCCCCCAGTAGATTTGGTGAACCTCCGATCCTGAGGCTTCCACTCCATGAGACGCTAATGCCGAGCCTGCTGCGACACCAGGGCTATCGTTGCCATGCCATTGGGAAATGGCACCTGGGGCATTTTCGGACCGCGTCTCGGCGGATGTTTTTGATCAGATATGGTATCATAGGTTTAGCCCGATCCCCATTTGACAATCTATTCATATCTATTCAATGATTTCACAACAATTTAGAATACCCAAAATAAAGTCTTTCATCGTAATGGACAGCTGGTGGGATGCGGATGTAGGGACATGTTGCTGTTGTAATCCGGTCACTCGGCCAATAAAGATCCCAATCTTTTGGTCGAAAATATGATCAACAGATCTGGTAGTAAGCATTACTAAACCAGGATCTGTGGTTTGGAAATTTATCAGGGGGAAAGGGCTTTGAGTCTTCAGAATCATCCAAACCAGCTCTCATGCCAATAGGGCAGAGAGTCATCCACATGCCAATAGATTTGGAAAGCTTTTATGGGTGGATCTCCATTAGTGTCATCTAAGTGTTAGCTTCCAGGACTGGATTCACATCATCAATGATTACCTGGTGGTTTGGGTTTGGAATTTGAGGATTCCCCGACAGGATACGGGATAATCATCAATAGGTGCCGTTTTTTGCCCACAATTTCACAGCAACTCAAGTTACCCCAGTTACCCTCCGCTAACGTGGCCTGGAAAATCATCCCTTTGTACCAAGGAGTACACGCCCACGTTTCGAGGCTGGCTTCTCAGATGACCAACAGCCAACATGTGTGACTACCCTTTGGTAATCTAACATAGCCATAGAAAATAGCCATGTTTAATGAGTTTAATGGCTAAGTTATCATTAAACTCATCTACAAATGTTTTAATTGTCCATTGCTACAGTGGATGGTTGCGAAATCCTGCACCACCTTGGATGGTTGAATCCCTATGAATGGGATAAACCACATATCAACTGGTGCAGGATTTCGCAACCATCCACAGTATGTAACCAATGACCAGAGGGGTAGCCGCTTCAAAATGTCCTTCCAAGAACTGGAGAAGTTCCCCTGGCTGCAGGTTTTGAATCCTTCTACGGCTACTATTCTGGCGGTGAGGCGCCTCGATGGAAACCCATAAACTTCCCGCCATGTTGGGTGGATTCTTCGTACCCCAAATTTCCGCTCAAATGGACTATATGGATGTAATGGGGATATGGTTTTCTGTTCGGTTTACCAAGCCAACACTGTTTGGGAAACAAGTAGAGGTGTCCCTGCCCGCTGGTAAACTCCCAAAGGGATGGGTCCAAATCAATGAGTTTTGTACTTGGGGGGGAATGACCATCCAGAAACACCAGCTACTTTGATATCCAAGGATTATTCAGGGTTTAGAAAAAATCCATGTTACCACATGCTGATGTTTTCGAGCATGTTTTTTTGGAGGGTGGTAAAAAAAAAATGGACCATGCTGAAACAAAATGAACATCCCTAATTTTGACCTATCGCTAATGATAGCCCTACTGGAACGTTTCGAACTATATACATCCCCAATTGGCTTCTCTCCGGTCATCAGACATGGCAATGGAAAATCCATCATTTATAAGTTTCCTAGCTATAAACCTCCATTTATAGGGGATTTTCTTTTGCCATGTTCGATTGCTGGAGGATAGAACCCATTATGTCCCCATTGAATCCCAATAAATCCCATTAAATGATAGTGAAATCCCAATAAATCCCATTGAATGATAGTGAAATCCCATTAAATGATGGTCAAAATCTCATTTTTCCCCAGTCATCTTTGCTGCCCAGCTTTCCAGGACTATTTCCAGCACCGAATCGAAGGTATCTACGACATGCACCGCCAGCCGCGGCCCTTTTGTGGTCCCAACTGCAGTCACGTTGCGTGGGAGGCGGTCTCCTGGTGCAGTTGATGGATATCGAAGAAAAAAGCTGGGGGGAGACATGGGGAGATGGCAATGGGATAATTTTGGATGGGGATGTGTGACTAACAGTATGATAAGCGTTTGCTGCCGTTTCTTGGCTATCCAGTAGTCATTTGGAGTTGATTTAACCATCAAACCATGGGGATAGATTTGACAGATGATGCTTGGTTGATTGTAGCTGTAACACCGATAAACATGGGAGATTCTCACAATCAACTTGTAATCCCCATTGACCAACCATGAGGACTTGCAATAGGTCAATAGGTTTTGACAAATGGTTGCGGGGGCTGAAGAACCCTTGAAATCATCAAAATTGGACCTTGTAAAGCATCGAAATTTGAGGATCTAAAGGAATGAGATCGAATGAGACAGAACATGGGGAATCGCATTTTGAGATCACCCAATTTTCATGCCTTATCTTGGTAAACAATAGATACATCAGGCGCTACAAGAATCGAGGAAGAATGAACACCAGAGGCCGAGATTCAACCCACCAAAAATGGCCGCTGAAGTGACAAACATGCGATGGCCGCTGTAACCAAAAACAGAACCTGGCCAGTTTTGTCCAGCCGATGGCTCAGGTTGGTGCGTACTCCACCAAATTGTTTCTGCACGAAGCGATCCGCATCATCCGACGTGGCGCAACAGCACAGAGGAAACAGACTGGATGCGTGACCAGTGATTAAAGGTTCGTGTGGGAAAATCATGGGTGGTAAAGGTCAAAGTCTTCGTTTCTCAACAGCCCAAACTGCAACGCTCTTCCAACAGCTGGGTCGAGAGACCCGGCATGGAGCTAAGGTCACAAGAAGCAGGAGCCCGAGAAACCTCTCTTCCTGTATCAGGCTCCACCCGTCATGATGGTCATATGGGTCATATATGGGTTGCGTTTCAAAGTGGATACATCCTTGTTCTAGAGCACCAAATACATTCAATAATTAGCATGCTATATGATAGCTGCTCCCTTCAACCACCATCAATTTTGGGCATAGATTCTAGATCAGTTCCCCTTTATAAAGGTGCTTGGATCATCCATTGGATCCTTAATGACCGGATTCCAACTCCACAGAGCTACCCATAGCTACCCCCTGTGGCTTCTTTTGGCACGAGGCGTGGCAGAACGTGCATTCGCCCATCCAGGCCACCAAGTTTTTTGTGCATCAGTTCGAGTCCATCGCCAACAGGACCAGGTGGAACAAGGGCTGAGGGTCAGGGGATACCCCAGGTTGTTGAAAAATGGGGAAAATCACTGAAAATCATGATTTGTTTGGGTATTTTTGGTATGTTTTGGTATTTTCATGACCCGCATGAGAATGACTCGGGGCTTGTGTGGTGAGGGAAAGTCGCATCAACACGGAGGGGGCCAGCTGTTCATCGATTCCATGGATTCTATGGGTAGTCAACACAAAAAATGACATCCCTAGTGTTCATTCCCCATGGTTGCCAGTTAAACCCCCACTTTTGTTGTTGACATCCCCAGTGTTGTTGGTTAAACCACTGTCTTTGTTGGTAAATTTATCATGTGTGTTGGCTAACCCCCATTTTTGTTGGTTAAAACCACCTTTTGCGTTGCTTAAAACCAATATGTTCTGTTGGTTAAAACCATTATTTTCGTTGTTAAACAGGGTGTGAGCACCACAACCGAACCCTGACTTCACTTTTTGATACTTAGGACATATTATTTTGTTGATGTGTATCAATCTTCATGTGTTCCTTAAATCTCCATATCCAGTTGCTCCTTTTTCCATCTTTTTCCAAAGCCTTGTGGTCCGCAGGCGCGTACATGCGGCTATGGTGAGCTCAGTAGACAACGCGATTGGCCAGATCAATGAGCCTTGGAGATGATCCCCTTGGGATGTGGGGATGAAACCACCACCGATGGGGAGATTTTCCAGAGGGATGAGATTAAATGGAAATATCCCCATTATATTTGGATAACTTATTATCAGATTAATTATAAATTATAAATTGTTAAGAAATCACCGGCAGATCCGGCGCTCCAGGATGTTTTGCAACAGGAGGGCATGCTACAGAACTCGGTAGTGGTCGCCACTTGGAAGCAGTGACAGGCGTGGAAATAGGTGACTTTCTACTGCCAGATTGAAATAATTAGAGGATAACTGAGATTATCTCACAGCTTCACTTGGATCTTCCATGATTTTCCAGATGTGGAAGTTGAAGTTGTTGTTTACTTTACTGCTTGGATGTCCTTGGCATTTGTCGTGGTGGCTGCAAAGCAAGGAGAATGAGCTGCAAAGATTTGTAGTACCCCTGGGCAAAAAAAAACAACTGTTCTTTTGCGAGGAGTGATTTTCCGTTGCCATGTTGATTTCCCCAAAAGTTACTAGATTGATGATCGATTGCCCATTGGAGTTACAGAGGTTTGAACCCCCTGTCCCAAGTTCTGGTGGTAACGTCCAGGTAACAACCGACAACGGCGGTGCCATCCACGAGTGCAAACCCAATGGAGCTTCCAATTATCCCCTGAGGCATGGACCTTGCTAGTTATGGTTGGGAACTGGTTATGGGAAGCACTGAAATACTCCACCAACTGGAGCCCTCAGTTGCCTTCCGTACGTCTGGATTTTGTTTCGTTTCAATCTCAGTTTGCCAAGGGGTGATCCAGTGGTTTCCAGGATTTGATCCATTGCACCATCAGTTCATCGATGTTCATCGCTGCAGGGGTGGCAAGTGCAGCATTTGGGAAGGTGGCACCAGAGGCACTGCTCTGATCTATGCTCCCAGTTTTCTTCCCGCAGGTGGGGACCCTGGAAACCAAGTGAGGTGGGTATGGTGGGTATGGTGGGTCTAAACCCATGCATTTCTGGTCAATCTGAGTCAATCTTTTGATGTTACTTAGTTGGATCCTAATTTTTGCTAGTTAAAGTCGATATTCTTGGCCATTAGATCCCCACATATCTCCATGATATCCCCATCATATCCTTATGTTTATTGCTTCTATAGGGCCTTTTTCACCATGAAATCCCATATGTTTGATGTCTCATGGTTCCCAGATCCCCATATTCACCATTTTAGAGCTGAATCCTCGATCATTCTCGGTTTTTTTGGGGCTCTAAGTGCCAGTCACAAGTACTCCCAGAGAATTCTCATGCCATGGTATCCCCATTGAATGCCCAACGGGAACCAAAAAAAAAACCGTCGAGACACAGGACTGGTCTGGCCGGGCCTCTTCCATGCAGCGGATTGGTTGCCAACGCTGCTGTGTGCAGCTGGTGCCGATCCATTTGTGGCGGAGACTGGGACGATTTTGAACGGGCCGAGCTGGGACGTCCGAAAATCATGGGAAAACCATGGGAAAATATGGGACAATACACGATACAGTGAGGGTTTATAGCTGGGAAAACCATCGAACGAAATGGTGGATTCTCCAGCTAACGATGTTTGATTGCCGATATCTCATGATATGTCACTAGGTGAGATCCCTATCAAACAGATCATCCCAGTAAACATTCAGACACGCCCATCACTCCAACCGTTTGTTTCCGGAAGCACCCTTACATTCCTATAGCTTTACATAATCTTACATATATATTATATACATGTTATATACATGTTATATCATGTAATCATGTATCATATCTATATCAATATCAATATCCCTATGCGTTTTCATGATCTCGCCACAGATCTTCCAAAACCTTCACTGTTCGAGCTGAGGCTCCTAAGCCTTTGGATGGCTTCAACCTGTGGCCAGCCTTACAGCAAAATCTCTCGTCCCTCCGAAGTGAGATCTACTACGGCCATTCGGAGCCCTGCCGTTGAGATATGGACGTTTTACTACCACCATTTGCTACGTTTAACCACCATTTGAGGTTGACCCAAAAAAACTGGGAAACGTCAGGAAAACCCACAAGTTTTGATAAATGTGAGTTACCTGGAACTTTGCGAGTGGTTATTGTTTAGCACATTCACATATTGGTGATGATATGGATTATAGGCGATTATAATACATTCACCTAGGACTGGTACGTGATGACGTATAAATTGTGTCTGACTAAGTATCTCTAGAACTCACCTAGTGGTGATTCTTTCGGTTCTAAATGAATATAGATCACATTAAGTCGTGACAATATCAGTACCTTTGGACTATATGAATGCATATCTGTTGCTACATTCTTTTGTTAATATATTATCAATATCTTAAGCTTCCTATGATACTGTGTGTATTATAAATATATATACATACATACATACATATATGTATATATATTATGTATGCATATATTATGTATGCATATATTATGTATGCATATATTATGATAAGCAAATTGGAACCACATATTGTTAAAGTTTTTCCCTGTCAAACGTTCCATTGGATTCCCCTTTCAAAAAATGGTGGCGTTTCTCGTCGAGGATCTCGCCGTGGGTCGCCATGGGCCAGGCTTCAGGGACGCAGAGGGATGGATTCTCGTCGAAAAACACGGATTTCACCAGGGAAAAAATCGAAAAACGTTGGAGATGTTGATTGTTGATTGAGTGTTGAGTGGCTAAGTTGATTGGCTGAGTATAACTTGGGTTTATGGGGACTATATCTATTGTTGGATAAGGTTTTAAATAGCAACTTATGACTAAAGGGGTGGCACTTTGTGGTGGATAGATTTGTTTCGAGGGTTTGACTCACAATCTCTAGAGGTTTAAGTCATGTCAACTAACTTGGATTATTCTTAATATTGTAATGTTGGGAATATCTGTGAAGTGTATGCAGCAATGTCTAAGCGGCATTTAGGAAGTAAAAACACGATCGCCTCAGTACTATGTTGGTTGCTTGTTGATATTCTATAAGGAATTGTGTGTGTTGCAAGTTGTTTGAGATCAGCATCACCAGTAAAAAGGCGGCTCCGGTTGGCATGTTTTGGCCACAGTTCCTATTGGATGGCAATGGATGGCAATGATTCATCCAACCAGGTGTTGTAGATGGGTCATTTACTTCCTTACCAACCATCAAAGAGCTCAAAGCATGTACACCTTATTCAAGTAACAATCTGAAAAGACTGTTCCTGTAACTGATAAGAGCTATAAGTATACTAGCTATATTAATATTATACCTTCATCCTTAGTAGAGCGCCACGTGCTGGTTTTTTCCTCCATGTTTTAACGATTCGATATCCACTTTGCCCTGGTTTCCTAACCCCATTTCTCTGAGGAAACTCATTCTGCAGGGCGGCGGCGGTGTGGATGATTGGTCTTTGCCCAGGCCAAAATAAACTTGGTTCATGGTTGGCATCAATGGGGATGAATTGGATATTGATAGTATGTTCTTTTTGGAATACCATTTTAATCCGTTAACTAACCAGAGAATACCATCAATATATTGCTTATCCATATCATAAAATTATCCATTCATAACATGAATTCCAGATAAATACCATCAATATATTGGTTACTTATCCCAATTGTAATATCATTAATTACATAGATTGGTATTATACTACTTAGTTATCCCAATAAATTATATTCATACCAGGTAATTAATGATATTATAATTGGGATAAGTAACCAATATATTGATAATTAGCTAACTTATTGGTATAACTGGGATAATTATTAAATTATGATACCAATAATCCTCATTCCCAATTTGGCTACCAGGAGACTACGGCCACGACGACGTCGCGTTCCGGGATCACCCAAGCAACGAGTCGGCAGCGAGATGCTGGCGGCGAGTCGGCTTGAGGGGAATGGCGCCACCCAATATGGTGAGTGAATTTTTGATTCACCCAATATGGTTAGTGAATTTTTGGGTAATTTTTTTTTGATTCACCCAATTTCACAACAGGTTAGTGAATTATGGGAAAATGCCCAGATATTTCATGGGAAAATCCATGTCTGGCTGATTTTCCCAACCCAATCCATTGAATGTGTGTGTGTGTGTTGCTTTACCCATGAACAGAAAAATATGATGTTAGATTCCCCAAGATTCCCGGAAAAAAAAAAACAGTTGACCAAGTGAAGTAAGTCCACATCCAGCTATCCAGCAGGATTTCTGTGGATCAAACGCCGCAGACTGTCCTTAGCCACGAATCATGTCTTGGTGGCGCCAAATATTGAAGTGAAATGAGGTCACACCTATTTGTCTTGGATCATCAAATGCCTGGCCAACAGCTTTACCAACAAAAATGCACCAACATTCAATTGTTGCCTGCACCGGTACTTCACCGACACTGTCAGGAATTAATCTTTGGGTTGTCTAAATTTTTAACTTTAGCTGAAATTCAAGACAGAACCTTCAACTTGGATCAATACTACTGCCTTCAAGATTCTGTGGTTCAATACTACTGCCTTTGAATTCTTTTGAGTCCATCAACAATGGCCCACAGAAAACTTGGCTCATAAATTAGTGGGCAACGAAGACAAGAGCTCCCAAAAAATATACAAATCATATCATAATATCTCTATGTTTCCTCTCTGATGCTGCTTAATCAAGTTCGGAATCTCCAGTCATGATCTCCAAAGTTTGATAATTTGGTTGGAACTCATATCCCGCCATTTCACTTGTTTAACACACCTTCCCCCTTATGTGCTAATACTGATCATGTTCGTTGGATATTGGTTACTAAATAAAGCTTCCACTGTATGTTTCCATGATTTTCTCAGTTTTTTCCCCAATGGAACCAGTTTTTTTTGAAAAAATCGCCCCCCTTCAGCGTTGACCGTTGGGGGAGGATCTATCCGTTGCTCTTCGACCTGAAAAACGACCCATCGGAGACCACGGATCTCAGCCGAACGCGGCCGGAGCGGTGGTGCGGTGGAGCGGTTGGGAAGTGGTGAGGAACCCGGAAACCATCAATATATATATATATATATAACTGCCAACTTATCACATATGATATGTTTGATATTATTTATCTTTAAATATATATATATATATGTATACTCATATATGTATATATAGGTTAGATGTAAAAGTATTTTTCCCCACCTGGTGAGGGCCTCTAGATTTTATCAGAGCTGCATGCCGCTCCTCGTCCTCCACATTAACATCCATCTCACAACCAGATCATAAAAAGATCATATCCAGATCATATCCATATAGAATCTGGTTCTAAGTGCATAAGTAGAATATCCGGTGTCAGTACATCGGCTCCAGGAGATCAGTTCGCGTTTGGGCGCCCGGCTGAGACACTACCGACGCCAAGCCGTGCGCCCTGTCCGCGAGCACAGGTACTGTCCCAAGTTCACGCCTCGCCACTGGGCAGGGAGAACCCCAGATCATCTGGGGGGGTTGGAAAGGGCTCACGGTGGATTTTTTGGTGATTCTGGTGGTGAAAACACTGTTTACCAAAATGTGTTGCACGAGTTTGATGCAGAATCACCTGATTTTGGAGCTGTCGTGGAATCCTATTCTTATTTTGTGGGGTTGCGAGTGGTGGTGCTTACAAAAAGTGGCCATGTTCAGAGATTGGTTCGTCATGGAATCACCGAACTGAGGCTCTTCGCCGAGCGGAGAGTGGATGGGCCCATGGTGCGATTAAAGCCACATCTGTGGAAATCTTTCGTGGATACTGAAAGTTTGCACCAGGGGATAGAAGGTCCCAGATAGGGTGAGGAAATTGCAGATCCTCAGGATTCCCAGTGAAAATGTCCCATGTCCGAAAAAGAATGCGCAGAAAGATGCGCAGAACCGAAGAACCGGGACCAATGCAGCCCGCGGCAAAAAAAACAATCAACTTGACCAATTTGCGCGGAATTGAGGCGGATGAAATATCACAGTGTGGCCAGGTCATTTCATGTAACTGCAACCGCTACAGGACATCTTCAAGTCCCAACAGTATCCTCTCAGTAACTCCTGCACATTCAAGGCCCCGCTCCATAGGGGTTCCAGAGGGGTAGTCAAGTTGGCTTCACTTCTGACAAATTCAAGGGGCTTCCAGAAAGGCTCCCCAACCAAATTAACATTTTGTTGGAGCGTTTCACTATGAAGTTTTGGGAGGTCTCCACCTGGCATAGATTCCAGAATTCCAGCTGGCACGACTGAATTGTTCCTTGGCACCAAGACCCGGCAGCATAGGGCACTGCTTGGTTGATATTTGATATGGTCAATTTTGCTTGCACGACACTCATGAGCTTTGAGTTTTCTCAAGGCAGAAGTTCAGCTATTGCCTCTAACAGATGCATCATGGCTGTTTTTTTTCTGTTCCTAAGGTAGCGTTGCATCATAGTCTTGAGGTGGTAGCTGGATTCAGGTTGAAGGATTGGCCGGGCCACAAGCCTAGCAGAGCGCCGAGCTTGGAGGTGCATTTGGCTCGGAGGCAGGCATTTCAAGGAGCATCTTTCAGCAGCAGCATAGGTGGAATTGTTTTAAGGTAGCTACTTCAAGGTACCAACGCATTCAAGGTACCAATCATAGCTCGCTGGTAGCTCGGTATAGCAAGGTATGACTACATATTAACATATATTAACCATATGGTGCCACGCCCCTATATGATTGCATGGAGATCTCTAAGCTCCATAGGAAAACTGCAGATTGCACATTTGCTTCCGTAGCTCATTCAGTATTCACCCCGCTTCGCGTGGGGTGGCCGCCCACACCGCAGGTTTATTTCGGTCCGTGAGAGGGGCTAACGGTGGTTTTCCCCCGTGGGGGCTCCCCAAGCTAAGAATTTTCACTTTTCCCCCCCGTGGGGGCTCCCCAAGCTACTTTTCCCCCCCGTGGGGGCTCCCCAAGCTAGGGAATTTTCACTTTTCCCCCCCGTGGGGGCTCCCCAAGCTAGGGAATTTTCACTTTTCCCCCCCGTGGGGGCTCCCCAAGCTAGGGAATTTTCACTTTTCCCCCCCGTGGGGGCTTCCCAAGCTAGGGAATTTTCACTTTTCCCCGCCGTGACAGCTTCCCAAGCTATGGAATTTTCACTTTTCCCTCCCTTGGAGGCTCTCCAAGCTGCGGAATTTCAAATAGCTAGACAACGACGCCTAGATAGTCCCCCAAATCCCGTGTTCTTTGAATGTGTTTCCATGTTTTTGCAATGGTTTCCTTCAAAGCACGGTACTTTACACTTTTGTCGCCATAAAACCGGTCGAAAACATCATGTTCGACAATGCTTCCAATTCCCTTATCTCCCCAACCGTTGAAAATACCACTATTTACAGTGTTTTCTTCAATTTTTCCATGTTCCAATGCCGGTAGCCAACTCCAACATATATAAAAGAAATCCTTCCAAAACATTGTTTTTGACAGTGTTTTTCCAATGTTTCCAGTCAAACAGACGGTAATTTACACGTTTTTTGCCATAAAGGCAGTAAATCCTTCCAAAACATTGCTTTTGACAGTGTTTTTGTAATGTTTCCAGTCAAGCATACGGTAATTTACACGTTTTTTGCTATAACGTCAGTCCAAAACACTTGTTTTTGCAGTGTTTTCAATGCTCTGGCATCCAAAAACCCTGCAAAATCTTGCTATGTACAATGTTTTTTTCATTTTTGGCCGTTTTTCCATTGCCGGAAAGCTACCAAAATGACCCAAAATTCCATTTCAATACCCTCTTGCGCTCAGACACCCAAAAATCCTCGAAAAATGTCGAAAACACCACCGTATTCTGGTCTCGGTGCGAAATCGTTTTTGGCCCCCCCCCCAGCTAAAGCTGATATAGCGACTGCTATATTAACAAATGTCATTGAGCATTTAGTGTTGCTGTTTTGCCCCCCAATAAGCACGCCTTCACCGCCAAAGCGGTGTGGGCGGATTTGTTTCTCGTTGCCTTTGTCCAAGCCATGAGGGCAACTTCCACTGTGGACGACTTGCGACGCTATTTCGAAAGCTTTTACCGAGAGGGTGGGGAGTTCCAAAGTGAAGAATACCAGGACAGCGAGGATTTCAACCATTCCTGGAAGCATCTTCGAACTGGCATCGTTGTATGGAAAGATGCCATTGATTTGTCATCAGGCCCAGGTGCCAAGGTATATTTTCACTACACGGAGGAGCTACCTTTCAGAAACATCACGGCCCTTGAGAAAGAAGCTGCGGAGGTATGGGCCTCACTGAGAACAGAAGGAAAAAGTGCAAACGCCTGGTGGGGGCGTGGTGTGTACACCGTCCCTAAATCTCCAGACCAATGGGCAGACCGAATGGAACTCTTAGATAACAATTACAGAAATATGATTAAGAGAGATGTGGAACTTCATGGTGAAGACTATGTGAGGAGAGTGTATCCACCACGTGCATCGTTCTGCATTCCTTTGCTCATCGATCCAGAGAATGCCTACGACATTTCAGTGAGGCCAACACCTGAGATGGAGGCAGCGGGAAAGCCACCCGGCACAAATCTGGATGACAAGCTGTTGAATGAGCCCGGGCAGCCAGAGCGCTGCTGTGTGGTTCTCCGGGTGGCTGGCGAGGACGGCGTTGCCAATGCTCGATCTCGCCTGCTAGATGCTCTCCGCGCACGCGAAGTGGCTGCTCAGACTCCTGGCCTCAAGATTGCTGCGAAAGCGCGTTTGGGAACAGCTCTGCAGAAGCGAGGCTACTTCCCGGATAGCAAGATTTTGCTGAGCGACGTTCTGGAAGCCCATGAGCGCACCCTCGGTGCCGAACATCCTAACACATTGCTCTCAGTCAACAATTTGGCAACTTGCCTCAGAGCCATGGGCCTGCCGAAAGATGCAGAGCCGCTCTTCAGGAGAGCTTTGGAAGCCCGTGAGCGCACTCTCGGTTCCGAACATCCTGACACATCGGTCTCAGTCAATGGCCTGGCAGTTTGCCTCCAAGCCATGGGCCTGCTGAAAGATGCAGAGCCGCTCCACAGGAGAGCTTTGGAAGCCCAGGAGCGCACTCTCGGTGCGGAGCATCCTGACACATTGTTCTCAGTCAACAATTTGGCAGGTTGCCTCGAAGCCATGGGCCTGCTGAAAGATGCAGAGCCGCTCTACAGGAGAGCTTTGGAAGCCCAGGAGCGCACTCTCGGTGCGGAGCATCCTCACACTTTGGTCTCAGTCAACGATCTGGCAGGTTGCCTCCAAGCCATGGGCCTGCTGAAAGATGCAGAGCCGCTCTACAGGAGAGCTTTGGAAGCCCAGGAGCGCACTCTCGGTGCGGAACATCGTGACACATTGTTCTCAGTCAACAATTTGGCAGTTTGCCTCCAAGACATGGGCCTGCCGAAAGATGCAGAGCCGCTCTACAGGAGAGTTTTGGAAGCCCAGGAGCGCACTCTCGGTGCGGAGCATCCTGATACATTGGTCTCAGTCAACAATTTGGCAAATTGCCTCAGAGCCATGGGCCTGCTGAAAGATGCAGAGCCGCTCCACAGGAGAGCTTTGGAAGCCCAGGAGCGCACTCTCGGAGCGGAGCATCCTGACACATTAGTCTCAGTCAACAATTTGGCAGTTTGCCTCAGAGCCATGGGCGTGCTGAAAGATGCAGAGCCGCTCTACAGGAGAGCTTTGGAAGCCCGTGAGCGCACCCTCGGTCCAGACCATCCTGACACATTGGTCTCAGTCAACGAACTGGCAGGTTGCCTCAGAGCCATGGGCCTGCTGAAAGATGCAGAGCCGCTCTTCAGGAGAGCTTTGGAAGCCCGTGAGCGCACTCTCAGTGCGGAGCATCCTGACACATTGCTCTCAATCAACAATTTGGCAGTTTGCCTCCAAGACATGGGCCTGCTGAAAGATGCAGAGCCGCTCTACAGGAGAGCTTTGGAGGCCAGTGAGCGCACCCTTGGTGCCGAGCATCCTCGCACGTTGGTTTTTGCCAAAAACTTGGCACGTTGCTCAAGGGCCTGCAGTATCATTTTGTAGCTGCCTCAACATGTTCAGGAGGTCATGGCCGTCAATAGACACGGAATAGTCGGCAATGCCTCAGCTTGGCTTCGTTTCGGTAAGGTTTCACCGCAAAAAAAAAAATCACTCCTGCAGTCGACTTTCACCTGGCCAGTGTCCCGACCTGATCATTTGAATCTGAATTCCCTTAACATGTCCTCTGTCCTACTGTGAGAGTCATAACGACCACAAGTGTCCATAAGCACAACCGATGCCGACCGATGCCCCTTTAAGATGGGATGGGATGATGGGATTGAAGATCTTCGACTTGTGGCCCAAAATCTGCCAGTTGAATCTCTGATTCGGAAATCGCGGGTTTTGGCATGTCACCGATTTTTGGGCCAAGCTGAATCTATCACATTGCTGTGGACGATCTCCCTTTGCTCAAGCTTTGCCATGGACCATGGGCTAAGGTTGGTCAGATTGGATCAGACCAGAACTGGTGGATTTGTTCAAATATGATCACCGAAATGGGATGTTGATCCCCAATGACGAGCATATTATCATATTCTTCAAAAGGGTGGCTCAACCACCAAATAACTTTGATGGCAAGTTGCAGAGGAGCGATTGGCCAACTATTGGGATGCAGGATGGAAACAAATCAACTGGAGATATCATCTTCAATCACCAAAATCTCATCACTTTTCAAATCAACAAATCAAAACAAATCGAAACAGATCAAAATCGAAAAAATGTCTGAAGTGTGATTCCCTTCCAACTCCTCCAACTTCCGTTTTCGTTGGATTTCCTGCATGTGGCGTTGGCGCCGATGCTGATCCAGATCAGCACTGTGGGATCGACGTCGACCTGGTCGCTGCAGTTGGACCTGCCCAGTGTGGCATCCGTAGGAGCACGGTGATGTCAGGGATTTCATGGGGATTCTGCGGTAATTTTGATGGGATTCACCATGCAAAATAGTCCAAACATATGGGTTTTCAGAGGTGTTAGAGTGATTTCATGAGATGTTATTGTGCTTACATGGGATTCACCATCGAAAAGAATCAAACGCCTTAGATTTAGCAGGGAGTGAATGTGGATTTATTCTCAATATACTGGCTAAATACTGGGAATATAATGATGGGAATTTTCACAATGGGGATGTCATGATGGATATCTTTATAAAACCTGGATTTGCTGGTGATTCTGTGATTTTCGTGGTAAATCCACCATGTTTGAAGGACGTTGTTTGGTGCCATTTTGAGCAGGAGATTTGAAGGAATTGCTGGTGGCAAAGCATGGCCTCAGCTTTCCACATGGATACAAGATCTTAGGGAAACGACCAGGCATTGCTGGTGGTGAATTCTCACGACCATGTAGGGTAAATGATGGTTGGAGTGTGGGAACCCAAATTTGATCTGATTTCAGGTTGGTGAATTTTTCTACTGATGGTGAATGGTGGAAGCTGCAGCATATTTGGACGACTGTGTCACTTCGCGGTAAACTATCACCTTGCAGTGGATATAGAGTTACACACTGTTAAACGTGGTTAACCCCTTTAAACAGTTAGCTTTTTTTGATGCTGTGGAAGCCCCAGGTGGAGTGGTCACCCTGGAAGACTCTGCCAAAGTTTGCAAAGACATCTTCCTGCGGGGCGTCGAGGTGCCACAGACTCCGCAGAAGTTCCCGCGAAAAACGACCAGGCAGGACATGGCTCGGTAGCCAAAAAAACATAGCGCCCGTTTTTGGGGAGATGATTTTCGACCCAGCTGATAGTCATTGGTACGATTACATAAGCCATTTGATTTTGCGGTACCCAATCTTGACCCATCAAGTGGGTTTGGAAAAATTGGGTCCCTCAAGCCGCAGACTGTCCTTTCCAGCCACGAATCATTTTTTCGTGGCGCTAAATATTGAAGTGAAATGAGGTCACACCTATTTGTCTTGGATCATCAAATGCCTGGCCAACAGCTTTACCAACAAAAATGCACCAACATTTCATTGTTGGCTGCACCTGTATTTTCACAGCATAAATCATACTGTATAATTTTGAGCAGCAATCCTTATTTGTAGTAACAGACCAAGTGGTAGTTCACCGACACTGTCAGGAATCAATCTTTGGGTTGTCTGACTTTTTTACTTTAGCTTAAATTCAAGACAGAACCTTTAACTTGGATCAATACTACTGCCTTCAAGATTCTGTGGTTCAATACTACTGCCTTTGAATTCTTTTGAGTCCATCAACAATGGCCCACAGAAAACTTGGCTCATGAATAAGTGGGCAACGAAGACAAGAGCTCCCAAAAATATACAAATCATATCATAATATCTCTATTTTTCTTCTCTGATGCTGCTTAATCAAGTTCGGAATCTCCAGTCATGATCTCCAAAGTTTGATAATTTGGTTGGAACTCATATCCCACCATTTTTATCCCACCATTTCATTTTTTTAACACACCTTCCCCCGTATGTGCTAATACTGATCATTTTCGTTGGATATTGGTTACTAACTAAAGCTTCCACCATATTTTTCCATGATTTTCTCAGTTTTTCCCCAATGGAACCAGCTCTTTTTGGGTGAAAAAATTGCCCCCCTTCAGCGTTGACCGTTCGGGGAGGATCTATCCGTTGCTCTTCGACCTGAACAGCGACCCATCGGAGACCACGGATCTCAGCCGAACGCGGCCGGAGCGGTGGAGCGGTGGAGCGGTTGGGAAGTGGTGAGGAATGCGGAAACCATAAATATATATAAATATATAACTGCCGACTTATCACATATGATATGTTTGTTATATATATATATTTATATTATATATATATGTTAGGTGTAAAAGTATGTTTCCCCACCTGATGAGGGCCTCTAGATTTTTTCAGAGCTGCATGCCGCCTCCTCCTCCTCCTCGTCCTCGTCCTCCACATTAACAACCATCTCACAACCAGATCATATCCAGGTCATGTCCATATAGAATCTGGTTCGAAGTTCATAAGAATATCCGGTGTCAGTACATCGGCTCCAGGAGATCAGTTCGCGTTTGGGCGCCCGGCTGAGACACTACCGACGCCAAGCCGTGCGCCCTGTCCGCGAGCACAGGTACTGTCCCAAGTTCACGCCTCGCCACTGGGCAAAGAGGGAGAACTAACTCGGGGGGTGGAAAGGGCTCACGGTGGATTTTTGGTTGAAGATTCTGGTGGTGAAGACACTGTTTACCAAAATGTGTTGCACGAGTTTGATGCAGAATCACCTGATTTTGGAGCTGTCGTGGAATCCAATTCATTTTTAGTGGGGTTGCGAGTGGTGGTGCTTACAAAAAGTGGCCATGTTCAGAGATTGGTTCGTAATTCATGGAATCACCGAACTGAGGCTCTTCGCCGAGCGGCGAGTGGATGGGCCCATGGTGCGATTAAAGCCACATCTGTGGAAATCTTTCGTGGATACTGAAAGTTTGCACCGATAGAAGGTCCCAGATAGGGTGAGGAAATTGCAGATCCTCAGGATTTCCAGTGAAAATGTCCCATGTCCGAAAAAAGAATGCGCAGAAAGATGCGCAGAACCGAAGAAACGGGACCAATGCAGCCCGCGGCAAAAAAAAACAATCAACTTGACCAATTTGGGCGGAATTGAGGCGGGTGAAATATTACAAGGCTAGGTCATTTCATGTAACTGTGCAAGCGCTACAGGACATCTTCAAGTCCCAACAGTATCCTGTCAGTAACTCCTGCAGATTCATGCCCTCTACAGGGGTTCCAGAGGGGTGGTAGTCAAGTTGGATTCACTTCTGACAATTTCAAGGGGCTTGCAATGATACCAGAAAAGCTCCCTAACCAAATTACCTTGTGGACCATTTTATTGGAGCGTTTCACTATGAAGTTTTGGGAGGGCTCCACCTGGCATAGATTCCGGAATTCCAGCTGGCACGACTGGATCTTTCCTTGGCACCAAGACCGAGCAGCATGGGGCACTGTTTGGTTGATATTTGATATGGTCAATTTTGCTTGCACGATATTCTCAAGGCAGAAAGAAGTTCAGCTATTGCCTCTAACAGATGCATCATGGCTGTGTTTTTTCTGTTCCTAAGGCATAGTCTTGAGGTGGTAGCTGGATCCAGGTTGAAGGATTGGCCGGGCCACAAGCCTAGCAGAGCGCCGAGCTTGGAGGTGCATTTGGCTCGGAGGCAGACATACCCAGGAGCATCTTTCAGCAGCAGCATAGCAACGCATAGCAACCCACTGCTTGGAACTGGCTTTAAGGTGGAATTGTTTTAAGGTAGTTAATTCAAGGTACCAATGCATTCAAGGTACCAATCGTTGCTCGGTATAGCAAGGTATGACTACAAATTAACCATATGAAGCCATGCCCCTATATGATTGCATGGAGATCTCTAAGCTCCATAGGAAAACTGCTGATTGCACATTTGCTTCCGTAGCTCAGTATTTGTTTATCGTTGCCTTCGTCGAAGCCATGAGGGCAACTTCCACTGTGGACGACTTGCGACGCTACTTCGAAAGCTTTTACCGAGAGGGTGGGGAGTTCCAAAGTGAAGAGTACCAGGACAGCAAGGATTTCGAACATTCTTGGAAGCATCTTCGAACTGGCATCGTTGTTTGGAAAGATGCCATTGATTTGTCATCAGGCCCAGATGCCAAGGTGTTTTTTCACTACACAGAGGAGCTACCTTTCAGAAACATCACGGCCCTTGAGAAAGAAGCTGCGGAGGTATGGGCTTCACTGAGAACAGAGGGAAAAAGTGCAAACGCCTGGTGGGGGCGTGGTGTGTACACCGTCCCTAAATCTCCAGACCAATGGACAGACCGAATGGAACTCTTAGATAACAATTACAGAAATATGATTAAGAGAGATGTGGAACTTCATGGTGAAGACTATGTGAGGAGAGTGTATCCACCACGTGCCTCGTTCTGCATTCCTTTGCTCATCGACCCAGAGAATGCCTACGACATTTCAGTGAGGCCAACACCTGAGATGGAGGCAGCGGGAAAGCCACCCGGCACAAATCTGGGTGACAAGCTGTTGAATGAGCCCGGACAGCCAGAGCGCTGTTGTGTGGTTCTCCGGGTGGCTGGCGAGGACGGCGTTGCCAATGCTCGATCTCGCCTGTTAGATGCTCTCCGCACACGCGAAGCGGCTGCTCAGACTCCTGGCCTCAAGATGGCTGCGAAAGCGCGTTTGGGAACAGCTCTGCAGATGCGAGGCTACTTGCCGGATAGCAAGATTTTGCTGAGCGACGTTCTGGAGGCCCGTCAGCGCACCCTCGGTGCGGAGCATCCTGACACATTGGTCTCAATCAACAATTTGGCAAGTTGCCTCAGAGCCATGGGCCTGCTGAAAAATGCAGAGCCGCTCTACAGGAGAGCTTTGGAAGCCCAGGAGCGCACTCTCGGTGCGGAGCATCCTCACACATTGGACTCAGTCAACAATTTGGCAGATTGCCTCAGAGCCATGGGCCTGCGGGAAGATGCAGAGCCGCTCCACAGGAGAGCTTTGGAAGCCCAGGAGCGCACTCTCGGTGCGGAGCACCCTGACACACTGGTCTCAGTCAACGGCCTGGCAGAATGCCTCCAAGCCATGGGCCTGGTGAAAGATGCAGAGCCGCTCTACAGGAGAGCTTTGGAAGCCCGTGAGGGCACTCTCGGTGCGGAGCATCCTAGGACATTGGTCTCAGTTAACAATCTGGCAGCTTGCCTCCAAGACATGGGCATGCCGAAAGATGCAGAGCCGCTCTACAGGAGAGCTTTGGAAGCCCGTGAGCGCACTCTCGGTGCGGAGCATCCTGGCACATTGAACTCAGTCAACAATTTGGCATTTTGCCTCAAAGCCATGGGCCTGCCGAAAGATGCAGAGCCGCTCTACAGGAGAGCTTTGGAAGCCCAGGAGCGCACTCTCGGTGCGGAGCACCCTGACACACTGGTCTCAGTTAACAATCTGGCAGCTTGCCTTGAAGCCATGGGCCTGGTGAAAGATGCAGAGCCGCTCTACAGGAGAGCTTTGGAAGCCCGTGAGGGCACGCTCGGCGCCGAGCATCCTCATACGTTGCTTTTTGCCCAAAACTTGGCACGTTCCTCAAGGGCCTGCTGTATGATTTTGTAGCTGCTTCAACATGTTCAGGAGGTCATGGCCGTCAATAGACACGAGTCAGCAATGCCTCAGCTTGGCTTCGTTTCGGTAAGGTTTCACTGCAAAAAGAGGCACTCAGTGTCCTGACCTCATTTGAATCTGAATTCCCTTAACATGTTTTGTGTCCTACAGTGAGAGTCATCACGAACACGAGTGTCCATAAGCACAACCGATGCCGACCGATGCCCCTTTAAGATGGGATGGGATGATGGGATTGAAGATCTTCGACTTGTGAGGGCCCAAAATCTGCTAGTTGAATCTCTGGAAATCACGAGTTTGGGGATGTCACAGATTTTTGGGCCAAGCTGAATCTATCACATTGCTGTGGACGATCTCCCTTTGCTCAAGCTTTGCCATGGACCATGGGCTAAGGTTGGTCAGATTGGATCAGACCCGAACTGGTGGATTTCTTCAAATATGATCACCGAAATGGGATGTTGATCCCCAATGACGAGCATATTATCATATTCTTCAAAAGGGTGGCTCAACCACCAAATAACTTTGATGGCAAGCTGCAGAGATGAGGAGCGATTGGCCAACTATTGGGATGCAGGATGGAAACAAATCAACTGGAGATATCATCTTCAATCACCAAAATCTCATCACTTTTCAAATCAAACCAACAAATCAAAACAAATCGAAACAGATCAAAATCGAAAAAATGTCTGAAGTGTGATTCCCTTCCAACTCCTCCAACTTCCATTTTCGTTGGATTTCCTGCATGTGGCGTTGGCAACGTTGGCGCCGATGCTGATCCAGATCAGCACAGTGGGATCGACGTCGGCCTGGTCGCTGCAGTTGGATCTGCCCAGTGTGGCATCCGTAGGAGACCCACCGTGACGTCATGGAGATTTCATGGGGATTCTACGGTAATTTTGATGGGATTCACCATGCAAAAAGAGGCAAAAATGTGGGATTGTTAGAGTGAGTTCATGAGATGTTATTGTGCTTATATGGGATTCACCTTCAAAAAGAATCAAACACCTTAGATTTAGTACGGATTGAATGTGGATTTATTCTCAATATAATGGCTAAATATTGGGACGTAATGATGGATATCTTTATAAAGCCTGGATTTGCTGGTGATTCTGTGATTTTCGTGGTAAATCCACCATGTTTGAAGGTGTCGAAATCTACTGGGACATTGTTTGGTGCCATTTTGAGCAGGAGATTTGAAGGGATTGCTGGTGGCAAAGCATGGCCTGAGCTTTCCACATGGATGCAAGATCTTGGGGAAACGACCAGGCAGGACATGGCTCGACCTGGCTCGATAGCCAAAAAAAACATAGCTGGTGGTCAGTTCTCACGACCTGCCATGTAACAAGGTAAATGATGGTTGGAAGTGTGGGAACCCAAATTTGATCTGATTTCAGGTCGGTCCATTTTTCTACTGATGGTGAATGGTGGAAGCTGCAGCATATTTGAACGACTGTGTCACTTCGGGGTAAACTATCACATTGTAGTGGATATAGAGTTAAACACTGTTAAACGTGGTTAACCCCCCTTCAACGGCAAGTTTTTTTGATGCTGTGGAAGCCCCAGGTGGAGTGATGATCACCCTGGAAGACTCTGCCAAAGTTTGCAAAGACATCTTCCTGCGGGGCGTCGAGGTGCCACAGACTCCAGTGCAGAAGTTCCTGACGCGAAATGGTGAGGCGATAGCGCCACCGATGCGAAATGGACCTGGCTATTGGAATGGAAGCAACGGAACCAATGGAACCACGAATGGAACGAATGGGGCGAAAGCCAAAGCTGTTTCCGCCCCAAGAAGTGAACAGAAACGAAGTTGGCTCCGCATTTGTCAGCAGGTTTGGCGGGTTCCCGGCGCTCAAAGTGTGAATATCGCGCAGATGACGGAAGCGGGCACCATGGTGGGTCAGATCATGACTGCATTATCCAAGGAGGTGGGAGCACAGCGTTGTCAACTGGTGGATTGCCTCATCCCAATTATTTTATGGCGGGATATAATCCCAGTAAATCCCAGTATAATATACGTAGTTATGTTATATATATATATATACACACATATATATTGGGACATATCCAATTATTATATCCCATTATATCCCACTATATCCCACTGGTTGATGAATAGAGGGGTACTTCCCGAAATGTGTCCATGGCTAAATGGATGGATTTTTTGTTTGAAAAGGCCATGGAATTCGATGGTGAACCACCATTGACCGGTGGATGTTCACCCAAAATATCGCGGGGTCATCTCCCAGTTGCATTGACTGGGTTTCACCGAACATTTCCCAGAATTGAAGCAATGCATATTCCAAACATATTCCTCTAAGTTCGGAGATGATTCCCAACCACTCAACCATTGCAGTTGTTGGGATTGGATAATAAATCCCAATAGCATCGGTCTTAGAAAAAGCACCGTTTTTAGATAGCCAGAGATAGGACTTTGGTCTGAGATGGCTTTCCACTTTTTCAGATCACTGTTTTTTCACCCAGAAAATATGGTCCTAATATTTTCATCGCCAGGTGGTGCAGCAGCAACTGGACAGTTTCTTCCAGCTTTTGCAGGGCGACCATCTGCAAGCTGCCGAAGGTCGCGAAGCGAACATCATCGAGTGCATCATGGGAGTCAGTCGATTGCTCTGTGGAGCCTCACAGGCAATTTTCAAGAAGCATCATGGCGATGTGGCTCGAAGATTGGAATTTCAATGGATTGCTTTGGTAAAGTCTTAACCGGAAACCGTGGTGTTTCCAATAAGATATGTGGTTTCCGGTTTCAAGTTTCCCTGAAACCAATCCATTGGAAAATTCGATGATTTCATTTGTTGACTGTCCAATTTACTTGGATCTACTTGGATCTACTTGGGGGAATGTGATTTCACTTTGCTGCTTTGGAAGATTTTGGGAACGGAACAAAACTTCTCAACCAGTGGTGCGCGTCAGTGACAAGACATAGTCACATAGTTTGTTAGAGTTCCCATCCAGCATCCCACAAACTGAATGTGCCTTCCTTCTATCTTTTCTCATCATGAGTTCTTGATATTTTTCCCATCACCCGAAGTGGTTACCAGCAGGATTCCTTGCGATCTTTCTCCACTTTCTTTGGCGCACTCGAAGAAGCTTCGACCATGGACCAAGTCAGCAAACTGTTTCCGGGCGAACTGAGCTGGTGGGTTTCCATTTAAATGGGGGTACCCCAATACCCCAATGGCTGAATGGTTTATAATGGAAAATCCTATGAACATGGATGATTATGATGATTTGAGGGTTCCCCCATTTCAGGAAACTTCCAAAGATGGTGAATCGGTTTTGCATGGTTCTAGGGTATGTTTTTTTGATACAATTTAGTGGTGTCACTCCTTTCTTTTTGTGGCAGAAACATCTTTCGTCACCCTGGTTGAGAAGCACAAGGGCCCAACTTGGTGGTTGTATGGTCTCTGGTAGCAAAATCATTCATCCATTTCCGGACTCTCATCAACCAGCAGCTTTAGGGGAAATTACTTATAAGTTATAGTGACCATGTGACTTTCAGATTTTTTATCCCCACATTTTTCACCAGGTTGGGTTCTCTGCAGTACGTCATCTGGATGGGCCATGACCAGCGCGGCAGTGTTCCCAGTGTTCCCCGGAAGCAGCCGGTGAAGGCCATCCCCAGCTCCATCGTCTTCGCCTATGCGCACCATGCGGCGCTGGCACCACTGGAGCGACGGAAACGCAGCACGGCAAGGACCTTGGCGTTTCTGGAAATGATGATGAGGTGGGGATGGGAAGGATGGGAAGATGGGTTAGCCGGTTAGCCCAAACTCCAATGTTTTACTTAATGGGAGGGCAAATGGGAAGATGGTGAAAGATTGGTTAAGGGTTTATGAGATTGATAAAGAGGGGGAAAATGGTTTTGGTACCTGAAAATGATGGGAAAAAGCAACATTCAGTGGTTCACTACGTAATTATTACGTTCACCATTGGAATTTGTCATTTTGGGTATGTCCCGTGTTTGGACAAACCTGAAATATTAGGATAAACGTGGTGAGAAAATTGAAATATTCGTTGAGAATTACAAAGTGTGTGTATGTGTGTGTGTGTTCAAGTGTGTTCAAGTGCGTGTGTTGTTCGAGCGACATCTGAATGTCAGAGCCAAATTGAATCCGTGCTACTTTGCAACATCTTAGTGATGGTTGAACACCAAAAACACATCTAGGTTTGCTTACCAATGGTTGATATGCTTGTGTTTGCAATTTGGTCATGTTACATAAAACCCATAAAAGCCATATAAAAACCATATAAAAGCCATTTCTAACCATCCCTCTCTGAGTCTCCCCAGGGAATACGGCAAAGACCTTGCACGGTGCTCCAAAGTGAGTCGAGTGTGGATCCTGGGGGCTCAGGATGGCGTCGAAGGCGCGGCCCTTCCATGGGAAAAAAAATTGGGGTCATAGGGAAGTTAAGCCAGTTTTTTAATGAATGATCAAGCCAGTTGTAAATAGTTTATCATCATTTCTTGGGATGAATTATAATGACCTCATTGTGATGTCACTGGAAGGCTTGAGTAAGGGAAATCATGACAAATTAATCCCCAAAGGCCTGATTTTAGCTTTTTAGGTTAGTGAGTTGTTGGAATTCAGTCAGAAATTGTATGGGTTTCAACGGTTTTAAGTTTTAATGTTTTAAGCATCAAACTCAAGAGTTCCTCCGTTCATATTAAACACGCCCCGCCCCAGACGCATTTTAATGCTTTTAGCATTTTTAACCATCTAAACAAGAAGAGTTCTCAAGCACGGAAAGTAAGATGATGATATTATAAGTTACAAGCATTCAGAACACCAATGAAAATTCCATGAAGAAAGTGGAGATGATTCGAACCCCCATCAAACTTCCATGGCAGACAAAGGTGGTTTCGATCTCAAATATGTGTTTCATCCAAATTCACTGAGTGTTGTTCCGGTTGAAAAAAATACACCAGGTGAGTTGGCCACTGCTGGATATTTCGAAGAGGCTGCGGGTTTTCTGCCTGGTGAGGGCGAAGTTTTGCAGCTTCAACTGCTGGGTGTGACGCAGCCGGCGACAGCAGTGGGAACACGCGTCAGGGTGCAGATCCAAGGGCTGGATGAGCCGGAGTCCTGGAGAAAACTCCAGTGTTTTTTTGGGAAGTTCTGGTTTGAATCCACCATATTTATCAAAATCCATTGGGAAGATGTGCGTTTTTTTTGATTTGTTTGTTATGTTCCGTATTTTTTCTTTAGGGTGAGGGCAACTATTCAAAAACTATACCTCATGGACCAGTTGTTCCAGCTGTTTTTTTTCATCATGTTTCCATCATTGGTTCAACCATTTTTCCCATTCCATGAGTTTTCCCGAAATCCCCAGGACTTGGTCTTTTGCCCCAACGTGACTGTGGAGTCCCTGCTGCCGCTGCTGCGCGAAGCGAGCACCCTACACCTGGCGGAGCATCCCGTGGCGGCGACGTGTCGCTCGGGGGAGGAGGCGGAGAAGCTGCTGACGGTGATGGAGCAGTTGGGGGCCCAGGCGCCACGGTGGGGTGGATTTCTACCATAGATAAATAGAAAAGTATGGCAAATCTGGTGAGAATTATGTATGTTTTTCGGTAATTGTCCATCCCCTTGATCGGTCTTGACATTCCCAAGGGATTGGTGGATTAGTTGGTTGGTTGGTTGTTTACATCACCAAATTCTGTTGGGAAATCCATCATGTTTATTCATTTTTTTTTCTCTCTGCTCAAATCCCCCAGGTGATTTTGCGCAAAGTTCGCAATCTCTTCTCTGGCATGGCAGCAGGGGCGGCTGCCACCTATGACGAGCATGGCTGGGTCACGGTGGTGAGGGGAATCAGTAGAGAGAAGTTGGAGAATTTCCAGCTAGGCGACCTGACGGAAGCGCAACCTGAGGAGAAATCCGAGAAACGAAGTCCTGCAGTTTTCTGGGGTATTCTGGATCTGAAATATGATCCCACTGTAGCTATGGAGCAGAGGGTGAAGGTTTTGGAAACCGGTGATGGTCGCAGTTCCAAGTTCAGTGGCTATGGTGCAGCCATCAAGGAGAATTTCAAGGCCGACAAAAGGTTAGAAGAAACCTTGCACCGTGCCGTGCTGGTGGAGAATAAGAAGTTGACCCATGAGTTCTTCGTTGAAAGTGGCTATGAACACTTGATGCCACGGCAGATGTGTTTTCGGCGCAGCTATTACGATACCTTGGCCCTGGATCTCATTGAGGGTTTAGGCTTGTCAGCTGGTAGTGGACCCGAAAGAGCCTGTGTTTTAAAGCTCTGCAACAGGGCCAGAGGTGCTGGCTGCATTCCAATCAAAGCAACAGATCTGGATGTGGCGCTGGAAAGGCTGCTGACGCTGCCGGAAAATGCTGAAGAATGGCTGAAGGAACAGGATGATGCTCGGGTTTTGTCGAAATCCATTCTGGACCAAATTTGGCCATGTTTGTGAAAAACATAGGGACATCTTCCAGGTTTGTTGAATTTCTTGAAGTCCCTTGAACAACTCAGGATCAGTTTCCACGCAACTGCAAGTGGGGTTGTTTCGAGGAACAAGTTCGCCACTGGTGGTCCAACGAATGTCCCGTCTTTGTGGCTGAAGAGCTATGTCATTCTGCCCCAGTGGTGCAAGATGGGCAGAACTTCGATGGCACCATGCGGGTGGGTTTTTCCCTTCATCGGATCGAAGAGCCTTCGGAGAATGCCAAGGATTCCGAGGAAGAGGACGCGGGTTTTTTAGGATGGCACCACTGTTGGGCTATTGCTGGTTCCTTATGTTGCTTACCTAGGATATCCCAACCACTTGGGTAAGCTGAAGTGGTTGTATGGTTGTAGATCTACACACCCTACTCGTTACTATTCAATACAAACGCCTATTGAAAGATGACCTGCACCCAAATATCAATGGTCTTATGTCGAGGATATAATGCCAATCCATGCAGTTCTCACATGATCAGAATGCCATTTATCATTTAGATTAATTCCGAGATGATAATCTCAGTGATACTTAATACTCGTTGGTGTACAGTTGTAAGCCACTGTTAAACCCCATGGCAATCAAGTACTTTAATGCTATGTATAGATCGCAATCCCATTGCATCATGCCAACCATGTTCAATCCCATAATAACCACCATGGTCTACAATTGGAGGTGTAAGTGGATGACAATGACATACACCCGATGGTTTGCAGATGATAAACCCCATGCCATTGCAATTCAGTCGATGGAGTAGTGATAATCCTACTTATACAGTATACATAGACAATTACTATGGATAGATGTAGAGACAGATACATATCTTACTAAGAAAAGTAAACCTGTTATCAACACATCATATATGTACAGGTATCCATTAATATATACTTACATAACATTGTATTTTACATGATATTCTATGATATTATCCCCATGTGTTGTTCCCATTCTCATCCAAGGGCCCATCTCCACAGGAACTCCTCAGCGGTTTCGAACCTTCGCCCCCCGATGCGCTGCCCTCCATGCAGTGGCCGGGAGACTTGCGACCCGGCACGCTGACGATCCAATGGCTGGGAGGCCTGCTCTGAAAAAAGGGGAGTTCATGGGGGGTATATTCTTACCAGCAGAGTCTCCACATGTCTCCATGATTTTAGTGGTAATCTATTGATATGCTAAAAGATGTCGAATTCATAGTACTAAATTTCCCTTAATTCATAATTCTTCCCATATGTTTCCCACATTTTTTCCATTTCACCATGGGATCCTGCCTTGGTTTTCTGTTTTTCCCATAGATTTCACCAGCCTTTCACTAACCGCGGTAGGTTACTGGAAGTTGCCGGCAGAGGATATGACCTCGAAGGATCTCAGTGGCAAAATCATCAGCAAGGCGCGGCAAGGCACGGCACCGGTCGACAAACGCCATCTGCACGAGGTCTATGTGGCCTTGGGTGACCTGGAACGATGGAAAGATATCCACCATTTTTTTGGTTGGGTAAATCCACTATAAAAACTATGGGCAAAGGGGCTTCGATAGCAAAGTGTAAGAAATTACCAGAGGGTATGGGAAGATATGGGGAAGATATGGGGGTCATGAAAAAAACTTGGAAAATGTGGTTGTTTTTGAATGATCAGACTAAGAAATGTCGAAATGTTCATTTCAGCCAGCGAATGTCAGATATAAAATCCCATGGTTTACCAAGTTTTTTTACTTACCATGATGATTCTCTCATCGTATTCTGGGATAAACATGGATAAAATATGGGATTCAAAGTCCATTTTTAATGGGATAAATTATGAAACATTGGAAACCCAGCTTAAGACATCCTGACCACCGAGGTGACGCCGTACAGTTGGTCTTCACCAACGCAGGTCTCTCACCGCAGACCTTGCTGCGACGCTATCCAAAAATCAACGAACTGGGTGCCTTCATCGCTGCGCGCTTGGCGTGTTCCATGCGCATTCGAGATCCCAATAAGAGCAACTGGCCGTAATGTGGAGACAAGGACTAAGAACCATGGGGAGATAGCCAACACTATACATAATCATGAATAGCATGGATACGGTTGTTGATATGGTTCTTTGTTTTTTTCATGTTGTTTGTTTCTTTTCTGTCTCGAGAGAATGAAATGATCACTGACATCAAGTGAGATGCTTGGGGCTCAACATGGCAAAACCAGGCAACATGGTTCTGGGCTTGGCGCAAGCTGCGGTCTCCAAGTGTTCCGCGTCTCCGTGCAAGGACCACAGGGTTGAGAGGGTTGAGAGGGTTGACAGGGTTGACAGGGTTGATGGGATGGAACATCACCTGATATTTGGGTTTCCCTCCGGAAACGTGGCAATTGAACATCCCACATAAATGGAGGTTTCAATGGGAAAATCATCTGTAAGTGGAGGTTTATACCTGGTAAAATCATCTATAAATAGTGGATTTTGCATTGCCACGTTTGATTAGCAAAGAGTAAATAGGGTGGCTAAGCATCAGAACGCTGGTATGGAGATAATACGAATTTCTGGTTGGATTTCAATCATTGACTCATAATTGTGGTGAAGATGTGAAGATGTTAGATGATTTTAAGACCTTGCTTTCATGCGGCTGATTTACCCATTGTCGTTCAAGCTCCGCTCGGTGAGGTTCTCCGGAACTGGCTGATACCCAACTTCACCACTCCCAGCAGTTTTGCTTAAGAGAATCCCAATTCTTCAATCACATCCCACATTGATATCATTGATCAGCCATCCCCACACCAGCTGATTTTTTGCAGGACTTCGTGGAATCCTACATTCACCGCAATTTCGGCGTCATTGATGCCATGATGGGAAAGAAGAAGGCGGTGGAACACCTGAAAAAAGCCATTGCCGTGATGCCAACTAACGCCACAGCGCGATATTTGTGCCTGGGCTGCTGTTAGCTGCTGAAATTCAAAAAAATGTGCATGGTATGGTATGGTATGGGACATCTCTTTTTGAATTGTGATTTTGGTAATTATACGGTATACGCCTTTTTTCAACAACCCCCAACCATAAGTGATGATCAGTAAGAGTAACATCAGGAACGGGGTACACCAAAATTTCTCAAGGGCTATCCCCAAGTTTTGGGACACAAATCCCCAAACAAAATGATGGTATTACCAACAAAAATCGGGATGATGCAAGATGTAATTTTTGGCCATATCTTTGTCGTATCCAGTTTGATCCACAACCATACCACTTGTTCCACATCCCGATATATCCCGATATTCTTCAATTTGATGTTGCCATTATAGACCAACAATCTCCCATTCATTGTCTGGTCTGACTATATGAATAAGTCTGAAACTGGGCCCATTCCACTACCCAATTTTTTCCAGAGAACGGGAGGTTCTCATGAGATGTGGGTGGTTTCCCAGTTCAAGACAAACCAATGTACGGATCTCCCAAGTTCACCCTTCCGTGTCTTCCAATCACACGATGTCCCGATTTTAATCCTTCGACCTGATTCGAGGTTGGGAATGCAACACCTGGAGTCGGAGCAGTGGACTGCTGCCATTGGGAGCTTTGAGGAAAGTTTGCAGCTGGATCCAGATTTCAAGGTGCCATGGTCCAAGATAGTGCCATTACAAAGCTGGCAGATGTTTCTATGGTTGGTTGTTCCTTCGTGTTTCCAATTCCCCAAGTCCTCTACCATCCGGTTATTTAACATAGCCATGGAAAATCCACCCATTTTTAAGTTCGGTAAACCATCTATTTCTATGGGCCATCTATACCATGGCAGACTGTTAAATAACCAGATGTATACCATCATATCCCATTGAATCACCATTGAATCACCAAAAAATTACCATAGATTTACCATAAAATTAATATTTTTTCACAGAACTGCCGTTGAAGGCTCCCTGGATCAACATGGCAGTGGCATTCCTGCGGCTACGCCAGTGGCAACGGGTTTTGGAGGCATGGCTCTCAGCAGAATCCATAGGGAAAACCATCCATTTTTCATGGGAAGATGTTGAGAAAACTCATAGGATCATGATTTTCCCAAACTGCTGATGTAAAACTGGCATCCACTATTTTTTTGATTGGGAAAACTGGGAAAAAACCGATTAGTGGGAAAATCAGCTTATTGAATGGGGGTCAAACATCTAGAACTGCATAAAACTTTAGGGGATTGTTCATTGATTCATTGATTGCCAGAGGGTGAACAGAGCGGTGAATGGTGGATGGAAGGCTGATAGGCAGGATGACACTGAGGAGAAGATTGACCAAAAGGTAGGGGAAATTGAAAAATCATTTTTTGGAGGTTTCCAAATCGCTGGGGGTACCCCCAGTTCTCCATTTTATTTTCGGATGTCGTGCAGATGTTTTGAGGTCAGTGACGCTGCACTCTACCGCCATCCCAACACAGCGCATTGCTTCTACAACAAAGGCACGGTCGTCGTCGGGGTCAAAACCGGTGATTTCTTTGGGGGTGCAACTTGTTTTAGCTGTTAACATGTGTTGTCTTGTTTTTGATGTTGATATCAACTGACTTTTTGGTGACAAGTGGTTTCGCAACAATCGCCCCGGTTTACATGGCAAGCTGCATGAATTGCCGAGGTTTGGCGTACTTCTTTCTGGCTCTGGAGCAGGAACAGGCGGAGAGTTGAACTGGATTCCCAGTCCAAAAATCACCAACTTCGGTAGAACAGCAACTGACGCGGGGAATCATGGTTTAACAAACATGATGGAGATGTGTTTCTAAAGAGACATTAAGAAGTTTTGTCAAGATTCAGCGGATGTTTGGTCTACATGCAGTACTGCTATAGGTGCCAGTTTGAATAGCTGAGCCTTCAAACTCACCAGAAATCAGCAAAATACCTTAAGAAAATGATTGATATGTCTCCTGCTGAAGACGAGCATGGAAACCGAGGGAGTGTAAATCACTATTTTTGTTGATTGTATCTCCATTTCTGATGCCAAAACACTTATTTCTACGAAAAACGCTTCCATTTTTGACGGTGAAAGTAAATTTCTTCCACCTCATCACTGGATAAATCACCATTTTTGCGAGTGAAATCACAATTTTTATTGATTCAACCACCAATGTTCGAAGGTTACTCCTGCCCCTGGATTTTCTAGTAGTCCCAGGCCTTATTCCAGGGAGGACGTTGGCATCCCGCAGGGTGCGCCCGGCATGTTTGGAATATCTGGGGATATAATGGTTGGATGGTTTTACTGCTACGAAATAGGTCTTTCCGGAAAATTGTGGCACCCTAAACCATTGGTTTCTCCAACTTTAACATGAACAATATTGGATGCTCTAGGAAACCCGAAAATAAAGGATATACCCTAGTTGGAAAATGGGAGATGCGCCGCCCAAATATAGCCCTTTTAATGGGCATGATGATGAGAAAGTGGTTGGATTTGGAGGGTGCCCTATTTTCGGACAAGCTCATGTCAACCTCAAGGTCGCCATTGGGGGTTTTGAGCCCACCATCTTCGTAACCCCCCAAAATGGCCATGATATGGAGAAAATGACGATGGCAGGCACCGAACTCAGGCCTTGCAGGCCTTTCAAGATGCGCGCAGCAATTTGGAGAGGCCATGGTCATTTCTGTACTTCACCCACTTTGATAACTCTTAAAGTTGATACCAAAATATCACACCCAAATGGCAAATAAAAAAAAATAGCTATGTGGTTACTCGTTATTGAACACAGGAGCTCGCTTTGGACGGAGAGGGACGATCAGCTGGCTGGGGGCCCTATCAGTGGCCATTGGATGTATAAAGTTGATAAAGTACCAACATAGTTTAGTCATTCCTGCTCAATAATTGATTGTATAGTGGTTAATTGTGATTCATAGTTATAATAATCCTGGATCCTGGATAGATTGGGTAGTACGACTGTCTATTCTTGACATTGTTCAGACGGATGTATGGGGTAATCTGCTTGAAGCGCATCCGCAGTTCGTTGAAGAAAGAAAGTCAGCATCAGATTCCGGGAATCAAAAGGAATAAACACGTGGCAAAGCCAAAAATCATAAGCCACACTTAGACAAAGTGCCAATGCGGGGGTTTAACAACAAATGTGGTTTACGATGGAAAATGCAGGTAAGAATTATTGCCGAAAATGCAACATTAACCAACAACCGCCGGATGATTATCATATAAATGATATGATAGAATGGTATTATGATGTAGACCACAAAAGATGGAGATAAATTGTTAATAACCCTACCTGCTTTCCTGGGCTTATCCCGTTTAGGATGGTTATGTACTGTTGGGCGGCCATGAACGCTCCCTAGGGAGCCATGAAAAGCCTTAAATTAGCACAAGACTTGGCTAAGAATGGAGCCTGTATGTGAGCGACCAATTGTCCAAAAAGTCAGCGATTTCCAATTGCCAAAGCAATTTCCAGGACCCAAAAACGGATGGGTTAACTCATGTTGTGACCAATTTTGTGCGTTTGTTCCCCCATTTTCACCATAAAGGACCCCTTGGGATCCAAATCTTCGGGGGTTGAGGTCAACAGCCTGCAAAACGTGGACAGCTTCTTAAGTAAACCCATGAGTTGGGATGGTCCGAGCCCCCGGATGGAGATGTTTGTTGTCTGCAAAGGGTCGGGAAAATCAAAAAAAAACACGGTTCATTATAATTTCCCCATGATTATTTCGGCTATGGGTTAACTATTATAGTTGGGAGATAATGGTTAACTATATTTTGGCCATATTGAGATACGCTATCCCCCATTTTTGGAGAAAATTCTATATGATATATCTAAGTGGAAAGGGGATGGTTGACAAGAGAGATCCAGTCTACCAACCAGGGGATGACAGTAACGGGCTTGTGACACTGCGAAGGTGGAAAGCCACATTGATCAGCGACCAATTGACCCTGTTGATTGGTTATTGATGTTATCGGGAATTATGAACGTAGCAGTTAACATCAATAACCAATCAACATCAATAATATAACCTACCCACATAATTCCCTGTTGATTATCCTGTTTATTGGGGATGATTATCCAGTTACAGAAGCAATGGGAATCCCGATGAAAACCAAGCTGAGGTTGGAAGTTCTTCGCATGGCGCCCCTGATCAAAAGTGCTCCCCACGGTGTGGATATGTGGCGCAGCCTATCTGGAGCCGTTGTAGGCAAAATGTCCTTGAGTTTCCATGTTTTTCTGAAAATATGTTAGTTTATTATGACTTTATGAATCGATGATCGAATGACTTGCCGGTGTTCCGTCTATTTCGTTCGTAGCATTCGGGACTGACGGACAAGTCTTTAGAGCACCGTTTTTGGGGCACCAGCATCAACGAAGCATGTGGGAGTCATTGCAGAATCTCTTGCATCATCCATGTTTTTCAACTGGATTACACTCTGGTAAACATACAAAAAGCTATAGAAAATCACCATTTTGAATAGGTAAATCAATTATAAATGGGGTATGTTCAATAGCTATGTTAAATTACCAGAGGGTAATGTACAAATATAGTTTTTGCCATTGTCCAGTCGACTTGTCGACTCGTTCTGTCCATGATGACTCCCGACCGGTTGCTGGTCACCATGCCCCGTGCTTCGAGAACCCTTGGCTTTAACCAGCTTTCAGGACAAGTCGGACAGCATCCCATCAGTTTAGACACATGACTGCTTCGCAGACAGTACAGTAGTTTTTTGGAAACACCCTGACCACATGAATTAAATGCTCCATAGTTAGTCTAGATACCCATGCCACGAACTACCATTTTCCAATTTCTTTGGGACGTGTTTCACCCACATTTGTCAGACGCATTTGTGTTTTCTTCTCGTCATCGCTGCCACAATGCCGGTGATTTGCATCGGTCCCAACCTCAACGTTGCAGCCGATGCCAATGAGAAAATGGGAACACCACCATTGGCTACAGCTACCTATTGATTCAGGGGTACTGCCAGCAATAATACAACAATAATGATAATGATAGGGATATTTTTCGAGTTCAAAGAGTTAGGGACCTCTGCAATCGATCCTCATATTCTGTTCCATCCACCCAGGTCCTATCTGCATTCCATGGTCGGTGATTCCAGCGATCGTGTTCTTCCTCTGGAAGTTTGCCAAACCACTTCTGCCAAAGGAGCTGAGTTGAGAAAGAAGCGGAGAAAATGGTGGGTTGTCCTTGGATTTATCAGCAAAACACCAGGATAATCCAGCATGTCTATGATTTCATGGCTTTAAACATCATGATTCCTCTAGGAATCAAAGTCAATGACAAGCTCCCCCATATTTTGATAAGTTACGTATATGTTTTTTTCCCCATTGCCAGCTAAAGGGAATTGTCCATCATTAAGGATGTGGGTCATGTGGGTCGAAGGAAAGATTTGGGCTTTGGTTGCCGATTAATCTTGTTTGACCCTTTGATGTAGCTATCTCCATGAGTGTACAGCCAGAAATTTGGATGGAAGCCACCAATCGCCATTTCCACGAGGCCATTTCTTGTTCCATGTCAAACCTCACAGCGATGCGAAGCCAGGAGTGGGCTCAAAGCATTGAGAATCAGATGACAAAGTTCATGGACTACTTGCGAGACTTGGGGGTGCGCGGAAATGAGGGTGAAACAATTGGGGATCTTTGGGCCACCCATCAAGAGTCATCATTTCAATGATATCCCTATGATTTGATTCATATCCCCTGCATCCCGCCAGGTACCCGGCTTTGGGAAGAAGAAGGTTGGAAAATGGGCGCATCCAACAGGAAGGAGGATACATTGAGGATATCATAAGGATATGGGATGGACAATGAAGAATGAGGATATTCTCACCAATGAGGATGTAGTGATAGACATAGAGTACTGTCGAAAGTTGTACCTATTAGTGATCTGTGGGGTCAAGAATCCTTGGTTAACATAACTAACCAACACTTTTGAGGATATAATGGGATATAAGCAGCAAGAACGGAGATATTAACGACTAGGTTTTAAAAACACACCCCGTCGATGTTACCTTACTTTCTCTAGATGATATGATGATTCTGTCATTCCTAATAGTTATAATTATCTAGAGTGAGGATGTTATAGTACATACCTTACTTTCCTATCTCATTCTTAATAGTTATGTTTCCTCTGTTGATGCTTGATATTCCCTATGTTCATCGGTTGCATCCCCATGATTTCATCAGGCGGGCAGCACCAACGGTGCCAGTGGCCCCGTGAAGTTTGGGGAGGCTGCGTGGGGATGGTCCAAATCATGGAGGTTTGTTTGAAACGGAAACCTCCAAATCCTGCGGTTTATCATGTTCCATGGTTGTTTCCTTCTTCTGAATCAAAATAAGCATAGATTGTGGCAGCCCCATTAGATCCACACGCAGCATTGCAAGGTCGGCCATTTAGCCTCTGCAGAACAGTTGGCTGAGCTGCAGCAACGGTCGAAGCAGGCCACGACCTGCCATAATTGCCGGTTGACACGACAAAATTTGGGGGTAAGTTCACCAGGGATATGTAATCAGAACCGGTAGCCTGCTCTGTTTGGGGGTACAGGGGTCTTCACTTCTTGCAGTTTTTGAGTTACCAATCTGGCAATCGGGTTCAGGTTTGATGGTCGCAAACTTCTTTCAAGTTGGGTGGATCCACACTTCTGCTGTTTGATCCTCGCTTGAATCCAGTAAACCCATGGGTCAAGCCGCAAAAAGCTGGTAAGCTGGTATTTTTTCGTATTAAAACCATCCATTTTTGGGAGCTTCAGATACTTTCTTCCATGCCGACAGTGCGTTCCCAAGTCGTGGTATGGGAAACGATTCCCGAATTGTTTGACCTGGAAAAGGTTTTCCAGGTCAAATCCCAAATTCTTGAAATTCATAGTAAAATATAATTAATAGAATCTCAACATTCTATAGTTCATTCATGGCGTATTCATAGGATGTCTTATTTTCTTCACAATAAAATGTCCCCTTCTGCCAAAATTCCCAATTGATTCAAACCAAATTATATATAGATATGTTCCCCGAGAATTTACTGATGTATTGATGTATATGTATATAATATATATATATATATACATATAATATGTAGATATACATATATGTAGATATGCTTTTCCCAAATCCCAAAGCAAATTCAGAGTAACATCTCATAGAATTTCGATTCAATGATAGAGAAATCCCATCTTTCCCCCTTTCCCACAGGAGTCTTGGGCCTTGGTCCTCGACTTCACCGCTCCTTGGTGCAAGCCCTGCCAAGCCATTAAGCCACGCTTCCAGGTGCGGGGAAAAATGGCGAATCCTTGGGAAAAATGGTGGATGTCTGGGAGGAATATGTTGGGAATATGGTTTATAAATCCCATTAAGTTGCCAGTTATATCTACCATAATCCCGTAAAGTTAATGGGATTTATAAACCATATTCCCATTATAGTTATATGGTTTATATGGGCCATTATAGTTATATCTACCATAAACCATAGTTACCCTCTGGTGATTTGTTACATAGCCATGGTATAGATGGCCCATAGAAATAGATGATTTTCCCAGCGAACGAAACCTCCATTTATTTGGGGGATTTTCCATGGCTATGTTAAATAACCAGATGGTATATTGGGAAATATGCTGGGAATATATGGTTTTCATGGCACTTGGTGGAGTTTTATGGACTTATATTGGAAATGTCATGGAAACATGATGGGATATACTAGGAATAGATGGAATTATATGGAAATTATATATATTGGAAGATTATTGCTGGAATCATCTGTTGGATAATGAAGATGCGAAAATATGTTGGTGTAGGGTGCCAGAGTTTTGATCCGTAGCCATCTTGAAAATCCAATGGAAACAATTCATCCTTCTCACTGTCACAGTTTCTGTAACAGTAACAGAATCTGTTTCATTGGTTCATTTGATATCATTCGAGTGGGTCACAATTAACTCCCCTAAGAGTCAACTCCCCCAAAAATTCATCGTTCCACAGCAAAATATAATATGTGTTTCCCAAAAAAAATAGATGGTATAGGATCAATACCAAAAAATCGTCCGCATGCCCAACCTCCAACCTGTTGTTGCTCCATCCTGAGGAGCTTGCTCGTCAGTATCCTCAGGATTGCTTCCTAGAGGTCTCTCGGGATGGAGAAAGCAACGGTGGTACGGTGTGAATTCACCAACTTTCCACGGTGAAAACCCAGGGCGTCCGGCTTCACTTTTCTCCAAGAAAACGATCCATGACGCATGGATATCCCGATTTACAACTGCAGTTACAACTTACAATTATGATATACATCATCATACATCCCAAAAATGGATTGTCACTGGGTTGTATCCTACCAACGTGGGATCCACAACAGTACACCATCCCCCCTAACCCACAGGGGGCCATCAAGAGTCATCCCAAGGTGGGTGTGGCGGATCCCTTATGAAAGGGAAACTCAAATATAGCCAGACCATGTTTGTGTGCCCCACTATTTAAGATGCATTCAGGCACATATAATTTGCTACACTGCTACACTTTTGTGTATGCAAGCAGTGATACAAGGCCACAAAGACAGCTAGATTTCCTCCGACTGTTGGAACCGGAAACACATGCCATGGATAAGTCATGGAGAAGTAGGAAAGAACATGGGGATCATGAACCGAAGACCGCAAAGAACAGCAATTCAGGCGTCACCTCAATGAATCAAGCTGGTTGCTTCAAGTTCTATCCTTGAGTAATGATATGCCATTCTATGCCATGTTGGTGGTGCAGCTATGCGTTTTGCTTAATGTTTACTGGTTAAGATTGAGTCTGTACTCAACAGCTCAATTCGCCCACGTTTTGGGCTCAGTTTTTCTTGTTGCTATGCGGGATAGTCGTGGACTCGCTGATCCGGGTCACTAACCAGTGGCTGCCTGGGATGCACATTGAAGATGAGGACTATCAGAGAGGATATCTTGGGGAAATTATGATGGATGATATGTCAAAATCAACATTTATGCCACATTTATGCCATAAAATGTTGAGTCGCCCATACTACTGTACATAGTTCATAACAAGAATAAACCCATGAGTACAGCGATTGCCTATTACCGGGTGTTGGTTCAAGTCATGAATTAGGGGAAAGGACATTAGACTATTGAGGAATAGTTTTGATGGTTCATTAGAGCATTACTATCTATTTTTTTCATTGTCATCAATAATTAACAGGAATCATCCATCATCACCAAGATTCATCAATAAATCATGAATATTTATCAATATTTATCGATATTCATCGAACCATCGATTTTGTTTCTTCAAATTCTCTGTTTGTTGTCAGCAACTGCCAGGTGAACGCTGACGATTTGGATGACGTAACGGCCAAGTGTGGTGTCCGGGGTCCTTGCTTAATCAACCCAAAAGTTTGGTGTCATCAACCATCTAATGGAATTTGGATACATGTGTTTCTTATCATACATTAGTTAAAAAATTATGTTCCAAAAACTTCAGGGTGGTTCGATAATTTTCAGCGGAAGTAAGTTGGAATCAATGACAAAAAGTTGAGTTGAACCAGAGAAAATGTAGGGATTGATGAACTGAAAATGGAGATATAAGACAGAAACATACCAAAGAAATGGATGTAAAGAAACATTACTTGGGGTTTGAACCCACAACTGACGAGATTGCAGCAACTCTTTGTGCAGGACCCACCCATAAGCCACTTAGAAGGCCATGTATACTGCTTTGTGTGAGATATCTTGGCTCAATTGAGAGGGCTAGCCATTGCGCATTGTTGCTTGAACAGGCATGATGAAGTCGTTCCTGTCTCTTCTGTTGTTGCCACTGTGCCTTGCACAGCCTGAGTGGTGCAAATGGGTTCCCCTGGCCTCCCAGCAGTACGTGCCAGCATGCAGTGGCTACGCATATCCAAGCTACTATGGGTACTCATGTGCCAGCTGGTGTCAGTGGGTACCAGGACCATCTTGGGGATATACTCCCGCATGCACCGGCTGCTATCAACTCTACTCCGGTCACTACAAGTCAGCAGCACCTCCCAGCACCGTGGCGAAGACAACAGAGAGCGGTTGCAAAGCTTCGTGCCAGTGGCTCTCAAAGCCGTCTTGGAACAGCACCTCAGATTGCATGAAGTGCGAGCAACCTTTGGTGCTTGAAGCCAAAGAGTCTGAAGAGACTGCACCATCCCCGCGCTTGAAGGTGAAAATGCAATGGCAGCGACCGGATTGGTGCAAATGGGTCCCTCTGGGCTCTTTGCAATACGTGGGCGAATGCACTGGGTCAGCTGTTGGCAGCACTGCCGGCACTTCTGGACTGTTTGGCTGCACCTACTGGTGTGGATGGAGCCCTCCTTCAGCTTGGCAGTACATCCCCGAGTGCCAGCAATGCTCTGCAGGAATTCCAGATGGATCTACTATGGCCCCAATGGCTGGGTGCGCAAACTGGTGTCAATGGGTCTCCCGTCCTTCCTGGCAGTACGTGGGAGGCTGTGTAGGTTGTGAGGCCTTGGCAGCCAACTCAAATGCGAACGAAATCCAGCCATGAGGCTTTCCTGTCAGCATCTGTCAGCATCTGTCAGCTATGCAGAGCCTGTAATGATAATGTAAAGTTTGCAATTTGAAAAACTTTGGAGCTGATGTACAGTTTGGATCGCAGCTTGGTTCCATGGACCTGCAAGGCCTGGTCACGCTTTTGTTCTGCCTAGGAAGTCGGTCTTTCGATGTAACACAGGAAAGGCTGGCCCACGGCTGGGAGTGAACCCTTCCCGTCTTGTCCCGTCTTGTCACAATGACAAGCTCTTGCACATTCGAGAGATTGGACTTCGAAGGGGCGAATTGATGCAATGAAAATGCACACATGTTGAGCTGGTGTGGAGGGTGACCCAAGATATAGCTATAGTAGGCTATAGGTTCTTTGATATTCTATGGATCATCTTTCCAAAATGTCCTGTCCCTGCTTGGAAGGCTGATTCCTTTGGGGTTGAAATCTGCCAGGAAGCCGATACCAAAAATCCCTGTGCCAAAGCTCCCACCTCTGAGGTCATGGGGCTTCCAACCTTTCAGATCTATCGAAACGGTGAGCAGGTCACCAGCAGCACAGGCAAGGCTGGTCGGATGGTTAGATGGTTCACAGCCAACGGTAGCCATCAGTTGGGTGAAAATGAGGTTTTAAAAGCATTGATTCTGGGGTAATCACATGTCATCACCCGATGTTTTGAAATAAAAACCAATATGGTTTACTTCCCTTTTTTGTTGCAGATGTACGTCTGAACAATGAAACCAGTCATTGGATGGGCCCATCTAGAGCAAGAAGCAACCACTTTGGTCAAGATTTGTGACCTGATTTCCATCACTGGGACCATCCGCATGTCCCAGCCCTGTTTGCAGACAGTGCTGGTGAGCTGAGCCTAGAAACTTACCTGATCCACTCGCTCTTAACAAGAATCAAAGTTTCTTGTTGGTCCAAATAATCGTCCGACGCCAAAAAAAAGGTCTTGATGAAGCCGGTCTGGTAAAGCTCTTGAGTGAGGATCTTAGCGCTTCTTCTGCGTGGTTCTTTCACACCGTGACCGCTGGCGTATACCGCATTGTTGCTGATGGTGTGGCTACAACATGGAAATAGTGAATAGTTTGAACGAATAAGCAATGAATATATACATTGAATACATATACACAGTGTATGTGTGTAATATGTGAATATGAACTCATGTAATGATGATATCAATAGAAACAGTGAATGGTTTGAACGGCCTCAGGTGATCATCTTGGACCCGTGGGCACCAAGAAGGGACAGTGAGGCACCGGAGCCACATAGGTCCACAAAGGGGGTGGGGAAACCCTCAATTATGGCTATTTTAGTGGGGAGAAAAGGGAAAAACCTTGGGAAGGGTGTTTCCCTTACAATTTTCGGACACATCCGAATATATGGGTAGCTTTGTCAACTGAAAATTTAGTTGGGTTGGTGGAAAATCTTCAGGAAAGGATTGTTTCCCTCCAAATACAGGTGTCTGAAGAAAAATCTAGGAGAAATTGGTATTTCACCAACCACCCTGAGGATATTGACCATTTGGACCACATGGAAATCAAGAGGACAATCAGCAGACATGGTCCCCCCCGTCCAAAGTTCTGGTGAATGTGTTTCATGTATTCACCCGATAACCCTCCAGGTGAAGCAGCTTTTGGTCAACCAGACCAGCGGAGCTGAATGGGCGGAAGCACGAGGAAAATCCTCAATGAAAAACACGCGCGCTGAGCAGTTCGGCTGCGCAAAATCAGCAGTGAGCTGTCCTTGCCTGCTGTGAGGATACAACATAGGGATGGGTAAGGGTAAGGGTAAGGTATGGTAATTACGGTACTAGAATGAAGCAAAGCAACAATAGTAGAACGGAGTCATATAAACATCTATATAATTGTATGTATATATATATATATACATATATACATTGTATACCAGATAGACAGGAGTATTCACTGAGTATTCACTGTCTCTTTGTTTGATATCACCAGGTCATTCAGGTCCTCAGTGGAAGCATTGGAGGAAGGGTCTTTTGAGTAACTGTGGTGGAAGGAGAATATAGCATGTTTGTACCCCTCAAAAGGATCGAAAAATTCTTGTTAACTATCTGAGTAGGATTTTACTTGTCTACCTGTCTACCTTTTTGATGTTGGCAAAATCTGGCTGTGGGTAGTGGTTCAGGATCTGTTTGTGGGTTTGTAATGCGTTCATGGGCTTCAGCGAACCCAGAATATGTTACACTCTCGATGCTATCCCACTGGAAGACAAGAAACATGTGTTGTTCGATGATTTCTGACCTTCATGCAATTTCCACTGCAAAAAGGTTGCCCCACATGCCGAAGGGAAGGTAAAGGTCGTTGCCAGGAGGAACCATTGGAACCATCTAAAACGGCTGTTTTTTGCCGGGGTTGGCTCCAGCACAAGCCATGGGGACAACATGTGACCGTTCATGGTCCCATTGAAATCATGCTGTGTTCATTTGTTGTGGTGAATAATTCACCATGCTCGGTATATCTCGGTATTCTCTTTAGGTTTCCCACGAAACAAGAAACGGTTGTTTGACAGTCCAATCTCACCAAGCGATTTTGAGCATGTGGCCACAACCAGACCCATATCCCTTCAAGAGACTGACACTTTAAAACACAACTGTTTGAAAATCGGCCAAGTTGATGATATAATGTGACTGAACGAAATATTCAAGCACTTCATCCCAATGATTTGGGTGAGGCTCAACCAACCAGACAAGGTCATGTGTGACAATCAAACAGCACCACAAGCGACAGCGATAGCGACCCTAATTTTGGTCAGCCATGGCAGAGGACCGGGATTTCTGGGACCATGGGATCATATTCAGCAGGGTACCAGGTTAGTTAGTTCGTCCATTCACCACTCTGGAGCCCATCTTTGTAGTTTCAAGTGGTTCTGTTTGCCCTTCAAGTTGGTGAAATTCCCCATTTATTTGTTTATGATGTTCATACCCACGGTTCTTGTTGGATAATATCAGCCGCGACATGTTCCTTTGGTGCTGTTGGAGGAGGTGAAGGCGCACCCGTTTCTGTTCGAGGATTCCTTCCAGGCACTTCTTATGGGAGTTTGTGTGTGTGAACACCCCAGATGTTTGAAGTGTTTTGGAGGGAGTGTTGTAGAAGCCGTATTTTTTGGACATGTTCCATGATGTCTTGTCCAAAAATTCTAGATACTCATCCTGGGACAAATATGTTTGGTATGTTTAGGACGGTTTGAAACCACCAATGATAATTGAGCCAGTTGAAGTGGTGGATGCTCTTCCCCCTGGCAGGTGAAAAGTCAGCAGCTCAGGGACCGGGAGAAGATTTCTGTCCTAAGATCCGTCCATGAATACCCATCATTCATGATCAAGGACCCAGTACTGTTTATTACCATTCTTATGATGGTTATCAGAATTCATAATCATAAGATATCATAATATCATAGGCATTATTCATTACTGTCACTATTAGCAATTCCTTTTAATGATTGATAGTATCCAGCCACTATCCCAATTTGGATGTCTTATTGTAGCTCATTATATAAACATTCTGTCCCCATTTCCTCCGCTCAGCTGTGGACAACTCGCGCTTCGAGCGTGCTGGACGTATGGACTGCGAGTCCATCAGCTTCGCCAGCAACAACCTGGAAATCGACGCTTGGCTGGGTAAACACCTCTGGTGTATTGGGGCATTTGCCAATGTGAATAGAAAGTTATTGATGGGTTCAAGCCTGACACTTAGATGTTTGATATTTTTTTAGGGGATTAGATGGGTAAACACCAGAGTATCTTGCACTCAGCCCTGAAGCTTTGAACCGCTGAACCTTTGAGAATCAACGAAGCAGGAAGTTGGCAGCTGAAAGTTGGAATGGCTTCACTAAATGTCATTGGGATAGTTCAGCCGCGAAGAAATGATCCATTTGGGAATGTTGGACCCGAAAATCTCACCCAAAATCGAAATGCTTCACGCTCCAAAGTTTGGGTTTGCCCCCAAGTTGGTGGACGTCACGTTTCATTCCAAAAATGGGGAGAGAATGCACATCATTCCTTGGAGGTGATCAGGTTTGAAGTCAGGCCAAAAAGCAATGAGGTTCAGAATAATTCCCCATATCACTATGTGGGGTTCTAACTTTTAAAGTTTGTTGTCAGAGTTGTCCCAATCAGAATTTGCAAACTGGAAAAAAACATGTTGATTTTGCTGGTAACATCCCTCATCCCCCAGGTTGTAGCCATTCAAACACCCCTGGGATGACCCTCCATGACCCCAGAGCTCTGAGGATATCAACAACGTGATCTACCCGGTGTCCCCGAGCGAAAAGATCTACGTGGCCATCACCAACAACGTGAGTCCTCCAGATGATCCCAGAGCACTCAAGTCTTCCCGACCTGTTGGGAGATGGAGGTTGCCATGGTTAGAAATGCCAGCTGCGGATGGACAGTTTTCAAAATCAAAAAATGCAGTTGGAAAAAAAGGTCATGTTTTTGCTGCAAGGGTCCAGGAATGCCATGTTTGTCAGTCGCTCTAGGAATGAATGTGACCAGTTACCAATTGCAAGAACCCATGGCAGTGAGCTTCAAAAACATAATATCCAGCAGGTGATGGTTTGAGAGATATGCTGCAGGAACCCTCTATGTTTACCCAGACCATCTCACCGTTTCAAACAACTTTCCCTCAAATCAGGGCAACTGGGTCAAATCCGCTTTTTACGCGCCAGCACGGCCTATGATCACGACCCACGGCTCCTTGGGTCCTCGGTGATGGACCAGTTCGACTATGTGATGTTTGGCAAGGCGCCATGTGCCATGCGATGTCGCTGCGCTTGGACCATGTTTTTTTGAAGGTGGTTGTACCAAGGGGTGTGTGCATAAAAGGGGGCGAAACAGAAAGACTAAAGAACTTGTTTCCCAAAAAAACCAACAATCAGTTCTTGTTGCGATTTTGCAGGTCCACTGTTTTCTCACACCGGCCTTGCACATTCCACAGGTTTCAGATTGAGACTGGTTGATTTTCCATGGCTCCTGTCTCCAGGTCTACAAGAAAGAAGTGAAAAAGGAAGATAATTTGGCGGTGCGTCACCAGGGAGGGAACGATGTGGGACCCCACCAAAACGGTCCGAGTCTTCTTGAGATGTGGTTCAAATTGTCAAGGAACATGGAGACCGCTGGCTGATTTGTTTCAAGTATTTTTTACATGTCCATCCTTGCAATGAGAAATCATCAACAAACACTATGGCGCAACCACCAATCCACTGGCCATTTCGCCCTCGTGACAGGTGGTATGGGCATCCTATGGTGGATTGTTGATGAAGTCTCTGCGCCCAGAGATAGGATGCCAAGAGCTTTCGAGCTGCCAACGAAAACATGTGAAAAAAATGGATCAAAGACCCGAGTTTTGGAAGGTTCTGCAATCCGGTTTTCCCTAAAAAGAACGTAATTACGAATGTGTTTCTCATCTCCAACAAAAAATATCAGGTTTTCAAAAGGAAAAATATCTCCAGCTTCGTGATGTGAATCTCGCCTGAGGCTCCGCGCAGAAGCAGCACAGCTGAATGACCGACTGCTGGTGTTTTTGTCCGGTGGAAAGGGGTCGGAATCCGGTCTTCGCACGAGATGTTTGGTTTTTGGATGTTTTTTGGTATGAAATTATGTTCTTTTGTTTCTTTTGGACCCCGATTCTTGACTGACCTCATCCTCATCAAGAAATTTGGGCAGATGATGGCAAATTCACCAACACTGCTGGGGGTGATTTTGCCGGTAAAACATGGAAGTACAAACGTCAGGGGAATACAACAGAGATAAATGAAACAAATAATATTGGGGATAATAGTAAAAAATAGTTGTAGTACTGGGCACATTGTTGGTTGATTGGTGGTTTCTTTGTTTGTGTTTGCATCTCTGGGATGATTTGCCACACTTGGTATAACCATCAGCCAGATCCAACCTCAATCAATTGGGATTTGTTGCAGCACAGTGGGTACCTCCATTCTTTACGTCTTCTGGGGTTCTGCTACCATATTTTTTGATGGGACAAATGTACACATATGTGAGTAAATACAGGAACCCCTCCTTCAACCAAGAGAAAGTATACATCAGAATTTTGTTCTGGAAATTGATCAGCTTTCGGTGGTTTCTGTCATGCGCAGGACTTTCATCTGAACGACAGCATTTACTTCATGATGCGAAAGGTTGACACAGAGGATGTCTCTTAGATGACCTGGACCACCCTGGGCGGCCAACCGCAAAACGTCCCAGCGGCCTGCGGTGTTGTGACATTTTCATTGGTGTTTCACTTTCAATGTTTGGGGATCAAACGTCTTGGGGGGTTCACACGGCCAATGAGTGGAATGATTTTGATGGTATTCTGATTTTTTGTCCAAGTCATTCTAAATCATTCCAAGTCTTTGGATGCTATATGATGCTATCACCTTGTTGATCATCACCTTGTTGATAATCCTGTTTTGCTTCTCACTTTCCCCTTGGTATCCCTTGAGGGTCATTCAGTTTTGATGGTGTAGCACCGTCGAGTGTGTGCTGGTGGGGTGGCTGACGCGTGTGAACCTTTGAAGTACAAGGTGAGTTGATCTGTGTTGCTCTGTCCTGCAGTAGTCAGTTTTTTCTTGCACCCGAGAAGTCCCCGCAGCATTTCAGAATCAGTCCCAAAGTTCAAGACAACGACAAAAATTGAGGCAAATAATGATGCAAAGTCCCAGATTTGGCCGAACATTTGCTTCCAAGAACCAAATTTTGGGGATCATTCCTTACTGGGCAGCTTCCACTGTCCCAGTTGCCCCAAAGCCAGCAACTGGCCTCTGGTGCCACGTCTGAAGGGACAAGTGTTGCAAGTGGTTGCAACCGTTCGCTGGCCATGTATTCAGCGAATGGCAAATGATTATGTTTTCTGCTTACATCTATGTATTGGTTAGAATCTAACTGCTCGTCCATATAAATACTGAAGGCCACGTTCCATTTACATATTTGTACCAAACATGTACCAAACAACAGATACTTTTTTGGCCGCGCTCAGACATGAAGAAGTGGTTGGTAGCCAGCCTTTGTGAGACTTTAACTCTCAAGGCACCATGGGGTTGCCAGCAATGCCCAAAAGGGAACACTTGGGAATACTACAAAATGGCAAGTTTGATTTTGAAAACAATGATGGTTGGATACCGGTTTTAGGACACGGAATTCCTCTTGTCCATTTGTTTTTCGGACAAAGCCAAATAAACAAGGTAGATAGATGTGAACAGATGTAAATAGATGTGTGGGTCTGGAATCATATGCATCATATGCCCTATGAAATCAGAGACAAGATTGTTCTGCAGCAGCGGTCGGAGCAGCCTGCGGTATGGTCTGTGACAAGTCGATGCGCTTTGGATCTTCATCACCGGGCCTATCATGATTGTCGTCGTCGTCATCATAGAAATAGTAAGAATGATACTGATTGTTTAAATTTAAATGTAGTAGAACCATAGTGATAATACTGATCATCATCATACTGACCAGACACCTTTCTGTTTAGACTTGCTTTACGATCAAAGGAGCGACAAATACCTTCTTCGAAAAGCATACAGGCCAACTGGACTACTACGGACATGTGAAGACAAGAGCGACACTTAATTAGTTGATGTTGGATACTTGATTGCAACCATCCAACCCCACCCGGAACAGGTATGTTCCTACTTGCCTGCAGTCCACACTTCTCTGAATTTTGAGGCATCCCGGGAAGCTCAAAGAAATCACCATCAGGACAGAATCCGAAGATTTGCAGATGACTTTCCCAGTGCTGATGCTTGCATGATTGAATGGTTGGCAGGGGAAGCACCACTTATATTGTCTCTAACACCAATGGCTGTCAAGTTACGTCATGCATTCATGACTATGATGACATTGCAACACACTCTCATGGAATCGAGTTTGCAGGCACACAAGTGGAACCTGTGGAAGGATAGTATCCAGCTTTGCACCAATGATTTTATGATTTTTCCTTGGAGTGAGAAAGTTTCTGCCAAGATTCCAGGTACTCGGCCCAAGCAAACGATTGGAAGATAGATCTCCCGAGGATGGCAGCGGCTGTAGATCCAACATCCGCAACTCCCTTTTCGCTTCCTGGACCTTTGTTGCGAGCAATCTTCAAATACAACTTCCCAGTGAACATGTTGATGGCAGTTGCCACTTGCAAGCATCTTCATGCCACTCTGGCAGAGCAGCTGAAAGCTGCAGTGAGATTTCGGAAGACTGAGTGGGTGATCTTGGGAGAGCTTCGAACAGCAAACTTGAACAACCGGGCCGGCCAGATCGTTGGAGTGAAGCCAGAAGATTCCAGTCGATGTGCTGTGCAGGTGGATGGATTGAGTTGCAAGTTGCAGAACCAAATGAGACTTATGGGGCATGCCATGGCGGAGACTCGAGAAGTTGGATCCCGCATGGTTGGAGTCTCCCGCTTCAAACTTTACGCTTTCCACTCCTCCAACCGTGGCATGTTGGCGGCTGTTCGCCTGCATACAACAGGGGAGATAGTTATAGGCTCTCTGGAGGGGAAGTATGAAGAAGTCACTGCTGACAACGGCAGCAGACCTATCTTCACCTCCGAAACCAAAATTCCCAGAGAGCTTGCCATGTTCGCAGAGAAGCAAGGGCAGAGCCCCTTGATGGCTGATTTGGGGCGACCGATTCTCTTGCGCCAAGTCGTTCCCCTGAGCAAGCTCCGTGAGTCTGAATTTGACAAATGTTCTCCTTCTGCCCAGCTACGCATACATGATAGACACGGCCCCCCGAGACACAACTTTGGATGGCTCGGTGATCCAGGTCCAACAGTGGTTGCTTGGCTGGATCAGGCGGACTTCACACTGGCAGACATGCGCCAGGTCTGGAGGTTCAATGGAAAAGTGAGGGCCTTCCATGGAAATTGTTTTGATTGCCGTATATTGTCCGACCAAGACTTGCAGAACATGTGGCAAGAGTCAGCCATGGAACCTGTCACTGAATCGGTGTGTCATGATGAGAGCCCGGCCAAAATCGAACCAGATGAAGCAAGGACAGTGGTCGAAGTGCAACAGGCATCAACCATTTCCCATGACCGCATTCCTTCCAGTGTGGCTGAGCTGGCTTGCGTTGTGACATTCCACCGTACCCCTGAGGCATTGGACCGTGCCCTTGGGCAATCTGACCTGGGCCGGCGCTTGCATGAAATGGGTCAGACCTTGAAACCCGCCTGGGCCAACGGTGCGAAGATCTTGGTGGAAGGATTGACAGAAGAGACCTGGACCAGAGCCTGTCAGGATGCAGGATTGACCGAAGACCTACGTCCTGGTGATGTGGTCCTACCAACCAATGCCTTGGCCAGCATTCTCGGAGAGATTCAGAAGATTCCGCACTCCTCACGGCCACGTCTGAAAGGTGGCAAGGAGGGGATTTCGATCCCAGATCTGTCTCACTTCGCAGATCTTTCCGACGCTAGGCCAGGGCCGTCCAGCAGTGTGAGTTTCAGTCAAGATTCCTCGCTATCTTCCGATGCCTCGGAGACTGGATGGTTGGCCTTCATCGATGGCTTGCGGGACAAGATCCTCCATGTGCCAATTCCATCAGGCTACACATCTCTTACCTTCGTTCACCAGCCTGAGGAGGCGCCAGTCACGCCACGGAGCATGGTCACAGAATCGGATTCAGGGAATGCGGGAGTCAACCTAGTTAACCCTCGCGTCTACCAATAGTTTGCTTTGCTGAGTAGGAAGTTTGAGCAAGATGTGCCTGTCATTATGTGCCTTTGTGAGGATTCTTTCCACGAACCAGCAGGGTTTTGGGTGATTGTGTCGACAACTATCCCCAAACTCTTCCTTTTTTTGGCCATGGGACTGATTCACTGCGCAGCTTTATTGCTACGTGCGGCACACTTTCATTCAGCACGGGTCTTGCTCACGAAATCTCGAGGCGTAAGCCACTTGTACAGACACTGTAGAGAGGAATTCTTCACAGCAGCCCAGAAGCTTGACATCCAAACACCCAGCAACTTCCGTGGCTTCTCAGCTTTGGTTTGGGGTGGTTCAATTTTTTTGCATCATTAAGATACCATTAAAATATCATTGAAATATCATTAAGTTGCGGCAGATTTTTGCGTATGAGTGATTTGCTTTGTTTTTAATTGTTTTGATCACTTTGGTTCTCCTGCCATTGTTGGTCTTGTTCTTGTCCGGAAGGTTGCTGGGTCACGCCAGGGGATGCTAGGGGATGCAGTGCATGGTGCGGTGACTCATGTTGCTTTGGCATGCGTCACCTGCGCGCATTCCACACGGCCGTCCGGAACCTGGATTTGTCATCAGCGGGCCAAAAACCTTCGCACCGCGGTGACCCATGGTTTTTGAACAAGTTTGACACCATTGTTGGGACAGGATGTAATGTGATTACAGCATCTTTAGCAGCGTGATGATTGCACCAACCATCCTCAATCAATTGGGATCAGTTGGAGCACAGGCCACCAGAATTCAGTGTTTGAAACTGCCCAACTTCTGGCAGTGTTTGTTGCCTTTCGAATCATGCCCCCGCTGCAGGACTTTCATCAAAGGATGTCTCTTAGACGAACAACCACCCCGGGCGACCAGCAACCACAAAACGTCTGAGCGGTTTGCAGTGCTTCGACGTTTTTCTTGTTGTTTTACTGTTCGGGGGATTGAAGGTTTAGGGAGGTTCAAATGGTTGATGAGTGGCATGACTTGGGGTGTTCAATGGTGTTGTGTTTCTTCTTGTTGGAAATCAATCAGTGGATGCTGTGACCTTGTCGTTTGTCATCTTCATCTTCTCATCATTCCCTCGGGGGTCACTTGGTTTTCTCGGATAGCCGCCATTGAGTGTGTTGTATGTATTTTGGTTTGACAGCTGCGTATGAACGTTTGAAGTAGAAGGTGAGTTGATCTATTTTGCATTGTACTGCCCCCTCTGCTTCTCCCTTGTGTTCAGCCTAAAAGTTCCCGCAGCGTTTTAGGATCAGTTGCAAAGTTCAATCAGCACAAGCATTTGTGCCACTACGCAAGTCCCGCACTGACTATACCCGTATTTGCCACAAATTCAGCAGGAATCCACCCTCACTGGGCCTCAAAAAAACATCGGCAAACGGAATCCCAAAGCAGTTTCCAGTGTCCAACACCAACTGCCCCAACTGGGCTGTTCATCTCGTGCGTTTGTGGCCAGTTCATGACTGGCAGGTGGGGTTCTGGCGTGACATGTTCACGGTCTGATGAGTGAAGGAAGAACCTTTTGTTGATGTGTATGGTCGCGGTTCATTCAATGATTATACGAGTTCCAGATATGCCCGGGATGTTTTTGAACCGGAAGATGGCTTGGTCAGTTTTGCATGGGCAGCGGAATGTAAGGAGCTGGATTTTTTGACAGTTTACTCTCTCCACCTACTGGTTAACAAAAAGGTCCCTGCAATGTTTCGCTATAAAATCAACCCATCAATTTTGGGTTAGATCACCACCCTTTTATTGTTAATAATGTCAAATAACATGCACTTAAGACTCAAGACGCTTAAGACCCTTCCTTTTTCTTTCCCCCAACCGTTTTTGTTGGTTAAGCGATTGCATGGTCATGGGAATCCTGGCAGGCACCATGATTTGGGATGCCAGCGATGCCAATCCCATGCATCGCCGACTTCCGGCGGAGGTTCATGGCTGGGATGAGGACAAAATGATCCGGAAGTCATTAGTGGTCTTTAATGGGGAAACCAATGGTTAGGGTGATCTCCCATTTTAAGAAACTTCCATAAACTTCCGTACAACTGTTCGGAAGCGAAATCCATTCCAAATAAAGGAATATGCACCGATTTGAGTTCGGCTTTTGAGCTTTTAAAGCCGCAAATTGCTGCACAAGCCCCACACCCTCCTCGGTCAGGTGGTGTCGCGACGCCGGAATGAGCAGAAGCCAAAGACCGAGACCAAAGAAAAGACAGATGAGGCTGGGACTGGGATATCCCCTAGAAGACCGAAATTCTGTAGTGGTATGAACTCAAAATCACTAGATATGGGTATGTTTGAAAATTGGCTATGGGATCATAGTGATCAATTAATTACTGAATTTTGGAGGTACCCAAAAAAAACAGACAAACAACCACCAGATCGGGAAAGATCTCCAGTAGTATTGGTATCTCCAAAGATTTTGCAAAAATACCTCCATTTTTTGGATACCGAAAATCATGAATGAGAACATTACCGAAGATATCCAAAACTCATTATTAATTACATTAACTATATATATATAGACTGGATTTCGATTAATCGCAGATTAATCATGGATATCTTCCCCCCGTGGGTCCCATCTTTCCGAAAAAGAATCGCAGGTCACCGTGGATTTAAAGACGGCCATCACCCTGAAGCCCGAAGCACGGACCAAGTGGCTGAGCAAGGCAGGGCGAAAGGTTGACCGGTTGACCCTTAAAAAGACGGGGCGTCACGTCATGAATGAAATCAAAAGGAAAAATTGGGGAAAATAAAGGCCAAAAATGTCAAGAAAATCCTAAGTTGAAGATTGTTATCCATAAATTGTCCATAAATTACCAGTTAAAAAATCCAGCGTTTGAAGTGTGGCTGGCAGGCCTGCGCCATGGTGGAGTCGGGTAAGGCGAAACCTACGGATCTCTATGACATCATCACCAACCGCAACTTCGACGACTGAAAAATGCTGGGAATCACCAGCAAAATCTGGGACTTCACCCATTTTTTCCCAGAAAAATGTTGGATTTCCAGGAAAAGTACGTATTTTCAATGTGTATATCGCCACTTGGGATCAACATAATATAGACTATAGTTAAGGTGAGGGGACCAGCATCCAACCAGTGAAAATAGGTCATAAAGGATGGAACCAACAAGATGAACTTCAGTAACAAACAGTGAACATCTTTGGCAACGCGCGGATAAGATTAAAAAGATTAAAAAAAACGTTGATATCCAAGGTTGAATGGTCAGATCCCTCCAATGGTCTCCATTTAGTCCTATCCGCGATGGATTGCCCGATATGGATCGTCCAACTGTACACCTTTTTGCAAACTCCGAAGATGTTTCCTGACATGTTTTTTGGGGGAAATAGTTTTCACACCAATCCTATCGTTGGACAGGAAGGGATGTTCCTCGAAGTTTTCTTCCATGCCACGATGGCCCAGGTAAGTTTTCAGGTGGCTTGTCCATGGCTCAGTCCAAGGTTCAGAAGGAACTCACAACAGTTCTCTGAAAGGAGGGTATCCAAGAGTAAATTGCGTGATTACCATGATTTTGTTCACTTCCCCCCCGGTTTGCCATCATTTCTCCCATTAGATATCTATTTCTTACCCAGTGGTGTCCTTTTTTTTTCCTCAGAAAGCCATGGATTGAATTGGCGAGGCCCGATCGGGTTGGGCGAAAGCTGGCGAGCATCTTGAAGGAGAGCCAAGGTCTCAGATGGGGAGTTGGTGGTTTCTGGCACAAAAACTGGGACAGAGATGTGACGCAACAAAAATGATACAAAATGTTGGTTTAAACGAGTTAAAAGACCGGGCAAAACACATGTATAAATATTATAAATGCATATAGATGCTTTATAAATATCACTTGGTGTGTGGAATATGATCCAGGAATCCAGTAATTCAAAAGTGTACTCATAGCAAACAAAAAGTCGGGATGCAGCCAGACATTGATAAACTGCAGCTGAGGCTTTTCGATTTTCTCGGACAAACAGCAGCGACGACCTGAGAGCAATCAAAATATGTTTCGCTCGTTGAGGTTTTCTGGTTGCAAATACTTTTCATGTAGATGTCATGTTGCAATACTTTTCTGGTTGCAATACTTTTCATTTTTGTCTATGATTCTTCTGACCCTCACTGAGGCGCTACTTGAATTCCACCGAGAGCCCCGTGCCAGTTCTTTGGCAAAATGGACAGGAGCCGTGAGGTGAATCCTTGAGAGTAAATTTGGAATCAATATTTTTCTGGCCACATCAGGAGGATAGTAAGCCCTTCCAATTTGGGGTACATAATTATGTCCCTTATCCATTTGGCTGAGATTTTTGTAGGTGATTGATGATTTCATGGTTGTTCCCTTTTTCAACCTTGCCAAAAAAAAATGGTCCGAAAATTCGCACCATGGTCCATGGGGGGTTGAAATGTCGCACCGCCCAGATGCACTTGGCACGAAGCGATGATGAAGATGAGGATGAGCCACCCACCAGCACCACCAGGATTCAGGCCAGTGAGTGGGTAGTTCAGACGTAAACCATCAAGTGCTGTCCAACAGGATAGATTGAACACTAAATCATCCTTAAATTATTACAAAATCCAGTGTGTGTGGTTTTGTTGATGCTTAATCCCTTATAATCACCATTAAATCACCATTAAAGCACCTTTTGCACCTTGAAATCACCATTCTTGGGCCAGATCGGACATGTTTGAGGCTTCCCTTCCCTTGCAGGTGACCAAGCCGTCTGAGGAGCCGCCACCCACGGTCCGCTACTCCAAGGAGGTGGTTTTTCGGTATCCCTACATCGACCACAACAGAGATTTAAAGGGGAGTTACCCCGATACCAAGTAAGGTGGGATATAGTACTGGGATATATCACCAATATGATAGTTGTGTTTGCGAGTGATTTAACATGATTTAACCTCCCAAATGTTATGGCTATGACATAGTAGGGAACATTATGTTATACCATCAAACTTGAGGGGGTTTACCCTAAGTTTTCAGACAAACCCCATATGGGGGATATGATATGTAGCTGATATGCCCAACAATGATTCGGATATGAGCCAACAAAAAATTTCAGGACTGGCCACTTTAATTGGGGATGGTAGCAACAAATACAGTCATTTCGACAACTAACATTGGATCTTATGACCCACTAAAATTGGGAGTGAATCAGTAAAAACTGGGATATAACAAACAACAAGCTGGGGGTTAATCTAAGTATATGAAGATTTGACTGCTACCCATATGAGTGAATATCCCCAGAGTTGTTGCTCAAGTTCGTGGGTTGGATCTCCCCTAAGATTTATGTTGGCCCCTAAGATGTGTCTCATATAGTGCGAAGCCAACAGCAACTTTTTGAGCTCGGGAAAAATGAACCACCCGCAGCAGCTGGGTATTGAGGCCACACTGCCAAAAATTACTTTGGAAGATAGTGACAAGGCACAGATGAAATTCTTTCGGCTAAATGTGGCTGGTACCATTGGAAGTGGTATTTTGACATGCAAGGCTGATGTCAGCGGTTTGTGGAAATGTTTGAAGGGAGGGTGCATGATTTTGCGGGTGTTGCAGAGTGGTGTCAATTCATTATTCTCATGCTTGATTGCCCAAGGCACCTGGGTTTGGGGGACTTCAATTTTGTAGCGCCCGTGGTCCTAATTTTGAAACTTTCGGTTGTTTTTTTTTGCAGGCCAACAAGAAGGAGAAAGCACGGTGACAACCTCAGCTCATAAGATCTCATGAGGTAGCAATTCTTGAAACATATTCCAAGATGTTAACAACATTGATCCAAAGATTGTATTCTGGATGGGTTTAGGTGGTAGACCCTTGCTTCATCACTCAATCGTCTAAGGCCAAAGCCTGTGGAAGAGCCCAAGGACTGAAACCTGGAGAGCTGGGAGGGTTGGGGATGTCCTCTTTGAGGCCACAAGTGTTGGCCAAATCCGAAAACATGCTAGGACTGGAACTCAGTTCTTTCAAGGAAGTTCAGTGTTGAATACTGAGGAAAGGATCCGGTGTTGATCTCTGCGGTCACATCAGAAATTTGTATGAAATCTGTGTATCGTTCGAGTCATCCAGCGGATTCACAAGGCGACCACGCCCAAAAGAATCATAGAAGTATCATACAATAATCATAGAAGTATGATACAATGATATTGGCACCTTTTTGGAAAAAATCGTTGGCAGCTCGTCGTTAATTTTCAAAAAAAAACCTGCTGGGAATGTCCCGACTGAAAGACACCTCCAATGATCCCAGGAGGACCAGGAAGCCGAGGCAAAACGGCGAAAATTGGAGGAGGAGGTCCGACCAGCCTTGGATTTTGCTCAGCAAATTGGTGGAAAATCCATGGGATGAAAAACCTCAAAAGAATGAAGGATAAATCTTGAGGAATCTGACCTGAAGAGGGTACCCAAGTTCAACCTCCAGTCCTCCAAAATTGATGACTGGCTCAGACAGGTAGGTCTGATGATTTACATAGAAATCGTTCCGATAAATCCCTCGATGGCAATTTCACAACATGACTGCACCTCGAAGGCAGACAATATCTTGGGAGCCCTGGCCCTTGACCTCAGGGGGCTCATGCAGCTGGCTAACTTAGTTTAGTCACGGATAGATCAACCAATGCATAGTGGCTTCAATAAGGGGGGATAGGACCTGAGTTCAAAAAAGTGAAGCATCATTTAGAAAATATATGTGTGTCGAACATGGTAGAACACTCGAGAATGAAGCTCAAAAGAGACGCCTCATCTCTGACTGAGATGGATAATCTTGGTTCAAGTCATAGCAGGTTCAGTTGCATCCCGGCCCTGATTATTATCCTCGTGCTTTTTGTGGGTTGTGTCAGCTGTATACCCTTTTGGTCACAATGCATGTTTGTCGATTGAATACGCAATGTTGTTGGTTGAACAATTGAATACCTTTGGTTGTAAAGCTCTTTTTGTGACTAAATTCCACCTCTTTGGTTAGTAGATTCCCCTGTTGTACTACTTTGACCATTAATCCTCACTTCGATTCAACTGAAAAAAAACTATGTATTGTTGAAACAGTGTATCAGTTTGTATGCTCTTGTTGCTTAAAGTATTTTATTTTGTTGCTGAAAACACTCATTTTTTGTTATCAACAAGTCGCTTCTCCCCATAGTTTGGGCTTGCAAGGTGCCTGGGCTCGCCGATAGTGCTCCACCCATCTTCTCCAAGGCTGCAAAGTCTAAAAATGTGGCATGTTCTGCCCAAAAAACCTGGCTGAAATAAATCAAACAGATGGATTTGGGGATTTGGATCACCAAAAAATTGTGATTTGGATGGAGATTTGAGAAAAAATCACTGGGTTCCGGTGCCATAAATAAACCCTAGAATTAAAGCCGCTGGTTTGGACCGATGGAAGCCTATCTCCGGGGACCCACCTTGCATCAAACAGCGGGATTTTCAGGATGTTGCGTTAACCGAAAAAATCAGGGATGAACGGTGATGAACGGTTACAACTGTAGATCCATTTGGCGACCACTGACAGCTAGAAAATCGCCTAAAATAGTGGTATTGTCAGCAAAGCATGGGGATAGCAAGCAACAAAAGGGTGAGAATCCTCATTTTGGGGATGTAAGCAAGTCGTTCAATAGACGCAGCAGATGATCATTGCAAATCATGGGAACAAATTGCATATCCAGATAGGGTTGCAACACTAAACAGATCCCAGATTGAATGTCAATGCTTCAGCAATCACGAAATCCGAGCGGTTTTGCAGATCCGGCTGGTGAAAAGCAGTCCTCTCGTTCGAATCGTCCTAGCTGATGTTGAAGTCGAGTAAGTTTCACCCGCGCAGGCAGATGCCAACAAAGGGCGCTCAGTAGGAAAGCCCAACAGAACAGCTGGTTGTTGGCAGGGCTCGATCTGCTCCAAAAACGGGGGATGCATGGCAACCCGGCATTTGTTGGATTGTTGGAATTATGTCATTTCCTCATGTTTATTGGTTACACTGCTTAAGATCCAAATTGAATCAGCAAATCCTTCACTACGAGGTGTCTCGTTCTCGCTCTATATCCTCGAGAACGGCACGAAGGCAGACTTGAGATTCCGACCAAGTTTCATCCTGGTGATGCATCCCCATCAACGTGTAACGCAGAACATCATGACATATCAAAAATCTAATTTGACTGGCATCTGTGGCATCTGTGGCATCTAGTTTAGATCTGTCTCTGATGAACAATTACAATTCCTACTCATCGATCATGCAAAGCATGAAAATGTCAATATTGGTATGAAAGATCATCCTGTCGCCATAAGTCTATATCCGAAATATTTCGAAACCAAGGGAAATTCTCCACTTCTGTGGTAGATCAAGTTTGAGATTCAGCAAAAGGAAATATCCATGGGTCAGTTTTGATCTAGTGAGTGGTCTTGCAAGAGAGTTTTCTGCTGAAAAAGATGAAGGGAATGGTACAGGAATTTCGGATTGATACTCGACAATTCTTAGGGATCAATTTGAGTTTTGCCCTCACATGGGACACTGCAGCCCCAAAAACCCATGATTGATCATCAGTATTGAATCAAATTGAGGTATTTCACCAGTTCGTATCACGCCAAATCCATATAGATTCCAACGGATGACCGGTGGCATCAAATCCATGCAGGTTGGCGCGGGAGAAGAGGTGCCAAGGGTGGAATGTCACCCGAAAAATTATCACAGAAACGTGGGTTGTCGGAAAGTATGGATTTCCCCAAATATATGTTTGATCATCATTTTCCCCAGTAACATCCCAAGCCAATCGACCTGACTTTTTGAGGTTGCATATCCAATTCGGACCTCTTGGATCCTGACCGGTTTGTCAAACATGGTGAGATCACCCCGAAAGTTGCTGGAGTTTGTCAAAAAAGAATGAGAAGAATATCCTGCCATCAAAAAAAAAGAAAACTTAATAGTATATCATATTAACATAGTAATTCGCCCTTGAAGATTGGATAAGCTTGTGATAGACCATCAACTTGATTTTTTCATGATACTTATTTGGGGTATATTAATCATACCTCATTTCATTGTTGATGACTTTAAGCAGTGCCAGCGCCAGGAAGGGCCGGGATCGGGACGGTTCTTGGCGCTCCGGAGGATCCGTCGATGTCTCAGGGATGGCAGGGAGTTGTCCCACCAAAACGGGTTGGATTTTTTAAGCCACTCCACGGCTAACAATGGGATAATGGATGTTAAGTTGATATGTATACTAATTGATACTAGTGGTTTTAATATAAACTAATGGATATTAATGGAGGTTCATGGTATATCAATGTGATTCACCTTTACCATAGTTTTAATACTATGCACTTTATATCCACTGGTATTGATATCCATATGGTGATTCCCCCAACAAATATTATGCATACTAATATACATATATACATATATATATATATAATAATATACATATATATATATCAATGGCATAGCATTTACACTAGTATCCCAACAAACATTGGTTTTACCACTAGATACTACTGGATATTAACTGATAATGGGACCATCACCCAAATCAACAGTTTCTGCCTGAGAGCAGCGGGGATGAGCAAGCATCAAGGCTTTGACCATCAAGATAGGGCTGATGGCCCGAAAATATGGGCTTGTCTGGATCTTGAAATTTGGTACCTACCTGTAAAACAAATCAGAATCGGAATCTGTGATCAGAATATAATGAAAGATACACCCAACAATGTGATACTTAGATCTGTCTAAAATGCGGTATATCCCCGTCTGCTTAAAATCACCAACCAGTCCAGTTGTATGAATTATCCCCATGATATTCGCATGAAAGCCTCATCACATGGTACCCCTTTTTTTGGCGTTTTGGATAGAATGAAAAGCCACCCCGCACCGAGGGCCTCTCTGGCTCGCGTGCCCTCCTCCTGAACCGAAACTATACGGAGGCGGCTTGGCTTCGGGAGATGTTTGGTGCCCGCGGTTGCAGAAGCTTCCTAAAATGGAGGTACTCCCAAATCATCCAAACTAGAAGAAACCCCAGGTGTTTACCATCAAACTTTGGATTTAACAATAAATTGGTTGAAAATGTCAAAGGCTAGGGTCGATCTAAAAATTGCATTTGAACAGAAAAGATTGATGGCCTACCAAGAAAACCATGTGGGCTGAACCGACAGAGACAGGGTTTGGGTGGCCGTGAAAATTAAGGGAACTCCCAATTTAAAGTATTTTTTACATGGGGAATGATGATTAGCCGGTGGACTTAGGGGTGCTTTACGCAAGCCTGCGCAAGCCCTTATGTTTACTGACAGAATCATCCATGCGGGTTCAAGATTCTGACCCATTGAAGATCCATCAATCATCAAGAACAGTTGAAAAGGAACTTGGGTGCGTGAAGCCCCTTTGTTCACAGAAATTCGGAACCTTGTATGCAGGATGAAGTTTCTTATGGAGGCTTTGAAGGAAAATGCAAAGATGGGCAATGTAATTCCTGTACAGTGTAAGATTGAGTAAGTCACAGTCACAATGATTTGCAAAAAAGGAGGAAAACATCATTATCAAAGGAAGTTGGGAAGCAATTTCCGAGTTACGAATGACTTTTTACTTGGTGCAATTGACTATGATGAAGGGTGGTAGATCCTGTAACAATACATAATGTACCAATACATCACAAACCAATAAGAAGCAATGAAATTGACCTTGAGGAAGGGTGGTAGATCATATAACAATACATAATATAACAATACATAATGTACCAATACATAACAAAAGAATAAGAAGCTATGAAATTGACCTTGAGGAAGTGATGATGAAGGGGAGTGGTGACGAAGGGAAGCGGTGAAGAAGGGAAGTGATGATGAAGGGGAGTGGTGACGAAGGGAAGTGGTGAGGAAGGGAAGTGGTGACGAAGGGAAGTGGAGAGGAAGGGAAGTGATGATGAAGGGGAGTGGTGAGGAAGGGAAGTGGTGACGAAGGGAAGTGGTGACGATGGGAAGTGGGGACGATGGGAAGTGGTGAGGAAGGGAAGTGGTGAGTTGGGGAGGAAGCCGGAGCACGAAACCTTGTGTTTTTCCGTGTAAAGTGGCTGCAGGCGACGATGAAAGGTACCTCGTCTGTGCGGCGGGTGCGGCTGCGGTCGGTTTGTCGTTTTTTTTGCCGCAGTGTAACGGTGGCTTCAAGCTGCTTTGGGTGTGCTTGTGTGTGCGTAGTTATAGGGTGTTTTGGAATCTGTGCTTGCAGATCGCATTGGAATGGCTGCATGATGTTGCAAGGGCTCTGTTGTGGGGAGGAAGCCGGAGCACGAAACCTTGTGTTTTTCCGTGTAAAGTGGCTGCAGGCGCGATGAAAGGTACCTCGTCTGTGCGGCGGTTGCGGCTGCGGTCGGTTGGTCGTTTTTTTTTTGCCGCAGTGTAACGGTGGCTTCAAGCTGCTTTGGGTGTGCTTGTGTGTGCGTAGTTATAGGGTGTTTTGGAATCTGTGCTTGCAGATCGCATTGGAATGGCTGCATGATGTTGCAAGGGCTCTGTTGTGGGGAGGAAGCCGGAGCACGAAACCTTGTGTTTTTCCGTGTAAAGTGGCTGCAGGCGACGATGAAAGGTACCTCGTCTGTGCGGCGGGTGCGGCTGCGGTCGGTTGGTCGTTTTTTTTTTGCCGCAGTGTAACGGTGGCTTCAAGCTGCTTTGGGTGTGCTTGTGTGTGCGTAGTTATAGGGTGTTTTGGAATCTGTGCTTGCAGATCGCATTGGAATGGCTGCATGATGTTGCAAGGGCGCTGTTTTGGGGAGGAAGCCGGAGCACGAAACCTTGTGTTTTTCCGTGTAAAGTGGCTGCAGGCGACGGTGCTTGCAGATCGCATTGGAATGGCTGCATGATGTTGCATGGGCTATGTTTTGGGGAGGAAGCCGGAGCACGAAACCTTGTGTTTTTCCGTGTAAAGTGGCTGCAGCCGGCGATGAAAGGTACCTCGTCTGTGCGGCGGGTGCGGCTGCGGTCGGTTTGTCGTTTTTTTTTTGCCGCAGTGTAACGGTGGCTTGCAAGCTGCTTTGGGTGGTGTTGTGTGTGCGTAGTTATAGGTGTTTTGGAATCTCGGCTTGCAGATCGCATTGTAGTGGCTGCGTCAAGGTTGCTTGGTGCAGCGGCTGCATGCGTAATACTATTGTCTTTTGCAGCTGAAGATCGTAAATCGTATTGGAATGGCTGCATCAAGGCTGCGAAAGTGATTTGTCAGCAGATTTTCTCAATTTTGGCGCTAATAATTTTCCTTTTAAAATTCCTTTTAAAAAGTGCTTCAAAATCGTCTTTTTGTCGCTTTGGCGTCGAGATCCGGTTTTGGAGCTGCAATTTCCGACGCCATTGCACGTAGTTCTATTGTGTTTTGCAACTCAGTCTCTGCAGATCGCATTGTAGTGGCTGCGTCAAGGTTGCTTGGTGCATGCGTAATACTATTGTCTTTTGCATGATCGTAAATCCATGGAAGCAAAGTGATTTGTCAGCAGATTTTCTCAATTTTGGCGCTAATAATTTTCCTTTTAAAATTCCTTTTAAAAAGTGCTTCAAAATCGTCTTTTTGTCGCTTTGGCGTCGAGATCCGGTTTTGGAGCTGCAATTTCCGACGCCATTGCACGTAGTTCTATTGTGTTTTGCAACTCAGTCTCTGCAGATCGCATTGTAGTGGCTGCGTCAAGGTTGCTTGGTGCAGCGGCTGCATGCGTAATACTATTGTCTTTTGCAGCTGAACATCGTAAATCGTATTGGAGTGGCTGCATTCAGGCTGCGATAGCGATTTGTCAGCAGATTTTCGCAATTTTGGCGCTAGTAATTTTCCTTTTAAAAATCCTTTTAAAAAGTGCTTCAAAATCGTCTTTTTGTCGCTTTGGCGTCGAGATCCAGTTTTGGAGCTGCAATTCCTGTTGTGATTATGTACAAGAAAGCTTCTCTGTGCAATTTTTTTTTCTGTAAAAGCTTGCTGTGTGTAAATGCTTCTCCGTGTGTAAAAGCGTCTCTGTGTAAAAGTTTCTGTGTGTGTAAACGCTTGCCATGTGTAAAAGCACTGTGCGAAGTGTTCTGTGTGTAAACGCTTGCTGTGTGTGAAAGCTTGCTGTGTGTAAAAGCTTCTCTGTGTAAAAGCTTGTTGTGTGTAAAAGCTTCTCTGTTTTAAAAACTTGCTGTGTGTGTAAACGCTTCCCATGTGTAAAAGCACTGTGTGTAAGTGTTCTGTGTGTAAACGCTTGCTGTGTGTGAAAGCTTGCTGTGTGTAAAAGCTTCTCTGTGAAGAAGCTTGCTGTGTGTGAAAGCTTGCTGTGTAAAGCTTCTCTGTGTAAAAGCTTGTTGCGTGTAAACGCTTGCCATGTGTAAAAGCACTGTGTGTAAGTGTTCTGTGTGTAAACGCTTGCTGTGTTTGAAAGCTTGCTGTGTGAAAAAGGTTTTGCGTGTAAAAGCTTGCTGTGTGTAAAAGCCTCTCTGTGTGTAAAAGCGTCTCTGTGCAAAAGTTTCTGTGTGTAAACGCTTGCCATGTGTAAAAGCACTGTGTGTAAGTGTTCTGTGTGTAAACGCTTGCCGTGTGTGAAAGCTTCTCTGTGAAGAAGCTTGTTGTGTGTAAAAGCTTCTGTGTGTAAAAGCTTCTCTGCTTGAAAAGCTTGCTGTGTAAAAGCTTCTCTGCGAAAGAACTTGATGTGTGTAGAAGCTTTGTAGTACAAAGTAGTACTGGAACGTGTTTTGTGCAAGCTTTGTAGTACAAAGTAGTACTGGGAAGTAGTTTGTGCAAGCTTTGTAGTACAAAGTAGTACCGGGGAGTGCTTTGTGCAAGCTTTGTAGTACAAAGTAGTACTGGGACCGAAGTGTTTTGTGCAAGCTTTGTAGTACAAAGTAGTACTGGGAAGTGGTTTTTGCAAGCTTTTGTAGTAGACATCAGTACTGGGAAGTACTTGACAGAAAAATAGCCAAGAAGAACTTAGCTGACATATGGGAAGACATGGAATGAGATGAGAAGAGCTCAGATGAGATGAGTTGAGATGAAGTGCAAGTGTGAAGTGTGGAGTGTGGGGTGTGAAGAGTGCAATGTGAAGTGTGAGGAAAGTGTTTGCATTGTACCGGGGTCGCGCGCAGGTCATGTTCTTGGACAGCAACACTGCAACAGCTTCGCACAAAGCACGCACGCACGGGCCTGGCTGGCGCACGGCGCATGTAAGTTCCTTAGTAGTAGTACTGGGAAGTGATTCATGAAAGCTTAGGTGACATATGAGAAGAGATGAGATGAGAAGAGATGAGCTGGGATAAGGTGAGAAGAGCAAAGATGAGATGAAGTGTGGAGTGTGAAGAGTGCAGTGTGAAGTGTGGGGCGTGAAGAGTGCAGTGTGAAGTGTGGAGTGTGAAGTGTGAAGTGTGGAGTGTGCAGTGGGAAGCGTGCAGTGAAGTGTGAAGTGTGGATTGGGAAGAGTGCAGTGTGAAGTGAGAAGTGTGGAGTGTGAAGTGTGCAGTGTGGAGTGTGAAGAGTGCAGTGAGAAGTGTGGAGTGTGAAGTGGAGCTTCAAATGTGACATGTGAAACAAGACACCACTTTCGCAGAGTGCACGCACGCACGGGCTTGGCGGGCGCACGGCGAGTGCAAGTTCTATAGATGAGAAAGGTCTTATATATATCTTTAAGGCAACTTCCGCCACGCCTCGTGCGGGTACTACTGGTATTTTCGGTATAATGCATAAAATGCTTGAATTAGCCCGGTCCAAACCACAAGAAAATTAAATTTGGATAAAGCGAATTGAATATAGATGAATCAAGATAGGTTCAAATAGATTCAAATAGATTTGGCCAGATTTGCTTCATACTGAATTGAAACGTGCGTACTTTGCAATAGATTTTGACGTTTTCAAGGCCTCAAATTATCCGACTTAATTTACTTTATCTCGTTTATTTTCCAAGGTAAATTTCTTTGAAAAATGGACAGGCGTAGATCTTGCGCCTGCAATCTTCATGGAAATTGGGGAGGAAAAGAAAAAATGGATCAACCACTTGTCATTGTTTTCCATCTTTTTCCTACAGTTTCATTGGTTTGAAAGCTGCCCTCCATGGTTTGGCTGACCACCCCCAAGTCGCTGTGCCGCAGGACTTGCCTCACATGCCGAGAAATGCGGCAGTCGCGGCAAATAGCTCATACGCGTCCCTGGGCCGAATTTGGTGCTATGTTTTTGTTTGACCTTGGTAGTCATCCTGCATTCTAGATTTATATATGTTCTACATAGAGGTTTTTGCACATTCAAATGATACTTTTTGTGAATTGTTTGTCAATTTCCTGTTACAAGTGTTACAACTTCAGAATACTGTGCCCTGAGGCCTGAGTCCCGGGAGTCACGTCGCTCTAGATCCAGGTCGAGAAGACGTCGACGCTGAGCGCCACGCTGAGCGCGAAGGCCTAAGGGGTTCACATGCCTTGAAATTGAAAGAAAATCCGATCCAAGATTGAAGAAAAAAGAAGAAAAACCATGGTTTCTTGAGTTTCTTGGATTGCCCCAGATGCTTCCAGTCTGTGCATTTTGTGGTTTTGAAACTCAGAACGGTGTTTGAACCCTTTCAACACAGCCAACAGCAAGCAAGTCCTGGTCAACTCACGTGTCGACAAGAGAGGGGGCGGAAAAAATGCGCTGTCAAACGATTTTGAGGTTTGACTCGAACCCAAACTAAGTTATGGAGTATGCCAATTGTTGGGCAGCCTGTCGCATTATTCCTAGCCTTCCAGTTGTCGCCTCTTAATCTTCAGATTCATATCTCTAAAATTCAAACCCTATCAAACTTATCTCCCAAAATTCCAACTTTCAAATCTCTATCGCCTTTGTCGCTATCGAATTTATCTTTGTCAAGCAAACATGCTGGGCACTTGCCCTGAGATGTGTATATCTCCAAACAATGTATTGATGAGCTGTGGCTTATGGGCAAAGCTATGTAATTTGTATGTGTCTAATATGTCCCAAAACCACTACAAAATTATGGGTGGTATGGGTTACATTAATCCAGCTTTGCAACCCAACAGCAGTGAAGATTCCCGAGTAACGTCCATGTTTGAGCCACAATTTGTCACTCTCAGCATTCAGCATGGAAACGAAATGACAGACAAAGTTAGAGACAAAGTGGATATTATAGTGGGAGAGAAGCTGGGAGATCAAGCCAGAGACACACTGGGAGACAAAGTAAGGACAAAGACACTGGTACACACAGCAGTGAGACATAGTGGAAGACAATTGGGAGAGAATTGGAAGGTAAGCGGGAGACAAGGAGGAAAAGTGAAAGAATGATAAAGAAAAATGGGAGACACCAGAGAGACAATTGGCAGAAAACAGAGAAATAATAGGGAGATAGTCGGGAGAAGATCAAATGACAGCTGGGAGACAATGTTGCAAGGTTCCAGTGGTGGACACAGTGGGTAACAAATGGAAAACAAACGTTTTAAGATTCCGGTGAAAGACACGACAGTGGGAGACAAGGTGGAGACAATGTGGGAAACAAAGCAGCAGGAAAGGTGCCAAGGTTCAGATGGGAAACACAGTGCAGTGGGAGTCACAAGTTCGGACACGGAGATGAAAAAGCGGTCGGAAACACAGCTGCAGACAAGCTGGGAGACAAGTTTGAAGACACAGCCTGCAGACAAGATTCCGAGATCCTCTTGGGAATTTAGCCTAAAGACTTGAGGACATGATGTCTTTAAAAAACTGTATTTTTTAAAGGACAGTTT